GGAACGTCTTAAGACGACTCACGGTAGGCAAAAGAGTTATGCGGATTCAAGGAGAAAACATCTTGAATTCGATGTTGGTGATCATGTATTTCTTAAGGTGTCACCAATGAGGGGGATCATGCGGTTTGGGAAGAAAGGGAAGTTGTCTCCTAGATACATTGGACCATTTGAAATATTGGAGAGAGTGGGAGCGAGTGGCTTATAGATTGGCTCTTCCAACATACTTTTCAGGAGTCCACCCGGTATTTCATGCATCTATGTTGAGAAAGTATGTGGCGGATCCTTCACATGTAATTGAACCGCAAACTATTGAGCTAAGTGAGGATTTAAGTTATGTGGAGCAACCAATTGCAATCGTAGATCGTCGGATTAGAAAACTTAGGTCTAAAGAGATCATTTTAGTTAAGGTTCAATGGAGAAATCATTCTGGTAAGGAGGGTACGTGGGAATCGAAGTCGAAATGCGAGACAAGTATCCACATCTATTTCGATTCAAGGTATATAGTTATTTTTAAATTCGAGGACGAATTTTTTTATAAGAGGGAGAGAATGTAATACCCATAAAACCAAGAAGTGACTTAATTGGGGTTTTTAAATGAGGGGCATTAGGGTAATTTAAAAGCAAAGAAAAGAAAGAAACAAAGAGGGAAGATTGGCGTAAACCAAAGGAAAGAAAAAAAACGAGAAAGGGGGAGAGAGAAAGAAAAGAAGAAAAGAAAGAGAGGAGAAGGAAGGAGAGGAAGAAGAAGACTCACCGGCGACCACCCACTCGGCGACGGCTCCGGCGACGGCGGTGGTGGAGTGACTTAGGTAAAAAGAAGAAAAATAAGGGTAAAAAGAGGTGAAATAAGGAAGAAGGAAAAAGATTTATTAAGTTAGTTTTTGGATTTTTTTTGAATGTTTTAGTTAATTATAACCTTAATTAGGATGGGTTATAGGTAATTTAGTGAATTTCATTCTTGAATTAAGAATTTGAATTAGGGATTAGGTTTAATTAAAATTAGAGTTTATATTAGCTTAAGAAAATTTAGAAAAAGTGAGTGAATGAGTTAATTAGGGTCCAATTAAGCTTGAATTTCAATTTATTAGTGTCTAATTATTGTTATTATTGATGAATGCAAATTTATGATGATAGAGGTAAGAGAGGATTTGATGGAAGAATCTACTTAAGGAAGAGACAATTATAATTTGGGGTGTTCCTCTATATTAGAGGTAAGTATAACACCTATTATGAGTCTTTACTATCATATATGTCTATATTGCTTGTAAGGTGAAAAATTGATTGTTTGGATAAATGCTTAATTATTAAAAATAATTGCATATGAATTGAATTACTTTAGTATTGATGAATTGAATTGGTATGTTGCCGTATGAATTGTGGTTATTAAAGAGAATATTGATACATTGAATGGTATATGTGCATGTTGATATAATGATCACTTGCATTAAATGGAATTGTGTGATTGCTATGTGCTTGAATGAGAATAATGAGATTTATGACTTGAAAGAAGTCCATGCGGGACTAACTAAGCTAACGGGGTTATAGTCAGCCTAGGTGCACCTAGTATTGCTTGGCTAGGGAATGGCCGTAGTGCTTCCCTCGAGTTTACCCCTGCGGGCGCTAGAGCTTATAGTTACCCTTGCGAGGGCCATAGTTACCCTTTTGAGGGCCAAAGGAATAGACGGTTCTGCATAGAGTGATTTCAAGAAATTTTTATGTTATTATTAATTGTTAAGAAAGAAAAAAAAAAGTTATTGATTGCTTGCTTGGTTGCAAATCATGTATGATAGGTGCATTGGCATAATTGTATGTATAACGATTTATAATATGTGTTATGCTTACCGAGTTTTGAAAACTCACCTCCTAAACCTCAAATATTTTGTAGATAATACGGAAGATAGATCATAGAAGGAGGACGATAGATTTTCCGAATTTGAAGGTACTACCCGGATATTATTTTGCTTCCTCCGGGTAGAGGACATAGTTGTTTTAAATTTGTATTCATTGTTCATTTTAGAATTGTAATTAGTCATTGTGTATTTTATTTCACTTAGTTGCTTCGTTGGTAGCATCACCAAATCCAGGGATAGCTAGTTAAGAGTCTCCATATTTTGTATTTGGATGGTTAAATGGTGATTTATAAATTTGGTTATGTTAAATATTGGATTATGTGTATTTTTGTCAATTTAATAAATAATGGAATTTATGAGGAAGTGTGGATGTCCAATGGAGGGACTTGATGATGATTAAGAATTGGTGAAGATGATTTCAAAGTGTACATAAATTGTGATTTTTATGTAGGATATATATTATTTTTGGGACCCTCCAATTATAGGGGAAATGCTGCCGAACTTTACGTAGGAAATAGAGAAAGGATTAAGGCTTACGTAGCCTATGGTGGGTCATCCCATCCCGGGCTATATGCCGGTCGCGGCTCGCCGGTTCGGGTCGTGACAAGCAAGGATATAGCTTCTAGATTGAAAGACAGCATAGTCCTGTGTTAATTGGATTCGATATCCATCGAAATCTAGTATATCTGGTTGAAGCCTGGCTGCAGGAGGGTCGCAGAGTTGCAGGAGGTAGGCTGCCAACACAAAACCAATCACATCGTTTTGTCCCAAAAGAAAGAAAACAAAAAAAAGCACCAAATCGAAAGAAGACACCTGTGACTGATGGTTCGAAATCAAGGTTCAGTTGAGTTATATGAGCACATACTCCGCAACTCCCAACCCAGAATTCAAAATACTGCAGTAGCTAAATTGACTCATCATGGGTATAATACAGTAAATCAGACATGCTCAGGCAGCACATTACTTATGTGGGAAAGCACCAAGTTTGTCTAACTGTATACCAAATAATCCTTGAACATGCTAGCAAAGCAAAGCTCATAGCAGAACATATGAACCCCATATGTACAATTCTAGGATATTTTCATCTGAACAGACAAATTTGAAGAAAAGTAGCTCAACCTTAAGCAGAAACAGGAGCAACCTTTAGAACAAATAGACAAAACTCTTTAAATTTGTACAACTAAAGAGGCTTTTAAGTTTAACTGAAACGTAAGAACTTAGGGCTTTAGATTAACTAGATTACAAAAATGACTCCTATGCTAGCCAGGCTAAGAAAGAAGTAGGTAAACCTGGCAAATCCCTGAGTCATGCTGGACAGAAATGAGACCTGTAAACTAGGTTGTGCAGACTGTGCAAATGTGAAGTGAAAGCAAGAAATTCCAAATCTTGTTTCATCTTTAAATGACTTGGTGTACGTTCAAATGGAAGCAGAAAACATGACTGAACATATCATTCAAATTAGAAGAAGAAAAAAAAAACCTTCCTTTTTCCCCTATTCTTCCACAAAACTAATCCTAAAATTTAACTCCAATTAATCACAAATTTGGATGAAAAATGTTGGTTTTTTTAAAATAAATTGATTGACCATGAAATGAATGCTAAATTTCTGTTCGGTGTTACAAAATTTGTATCGTTTCCAAACACTAACAGCAAACACATAGGCTAAATTTCGTCAGGAGAGAGAATACCTTTAACAAAAAGTTTGGATGAGAACCCTCTGGAGAAGAACAGTAGGGGATGGAGTTGAGGTTGGGAGAAAAGTTTGAGAGAGCTTTGGGTAATTCCTCTGAATGCTGCCATTTCAATTCTTGGGAAGAGATGCAGGGCAATTTATGAAGGAATTAATTTTGCTGTGTGGAGAGCAGGGACGACAGGAGTAGGAAGTAAATTATAAATAAGTCCCTCTAGTTTCAATAAACGAATTTATTAGTTTCTTTTGTTTTAAAATTATTATTTAATTATTATAAATAAGTCCCTATATTTAATTTAATATTATTTTTATTTTACAAAATAGCTTCTTCTTTTATTAATTTTTTCATTTTTTATATATTTCTTCTCTTTTTTTCTTTTTTTTTTCAAATCAAAAAATTTTTAAAAAGCAAAAATGATTAAGTTAGGAGTATATTTAAAAATATAAAATTAAATAATTAGTTTTAGTTTTTTTTTAAAAAAGACAAATTAATTCATTCATAAAAAAACAAGTAAGTTAATTTATAATTTACTCGGAGCGGAGAGTTAAACCATTTTGGGCAAACTTCAAATAAGTCCTCCAATTATATAAATACATTTATTTAAGTTTTATTATTTGCAAACATTTTAAAATATCTACTAATGTGAAAAATATTTAAGTTCCGAAGAGAAATTTAGAGTTATTTTTGCATGAGTTATGGAAAAAGTTACTTTTTTATTTTGAGTTATAAACAAAAAGTTATTTTTCATAATTTAGAGTTATTTTGCATGAATTATTTCTTATCATTGTATTTGCTTAATTGTGCGAACAAAATAAGTAAAAAATAAAAAATAAGATTTTGTTTTCTGCATTGCGTCGCTTCTCCACCTTCTTACAGCAGCAAATCAAATGCATTAGTGAAGATAAACTCAACAGGACATTGTTGAAATAAAATCAGCAGAATTTGCAGAGAGCATAATATTATTTAGTGGAGATATGCTCAATTGTTCAGAATTGTACATTTTTTTCTGAAGCAACAGGTATGCACATTGAAGATCCATGATGCTCCAAAGGTAGATGGGATACCACAAGACTCGTGCATTTTGCGAAGCAGAAAGATCGAAGGTTCAAGACTGCACATATTACAGTAATGTTTCAAAAGTTCAGTTCAAGAAAGTTTTCTCGTAACAACTTTAAAGAAGAATTTCCATGCTTGTATAGAATTGTTAATGGGACTCTGAGGGAATCCAAAATGCACTAAAGGTAAGGTTTTAACTGAGTATATAACTAATAAAAGTCTAACCGTGCAACACACAACTTACCATCTATTTGTTACTGTCCACGAGCCCTTGACCTTGAGTTTGTAAAGCACAGGGTGCTGGAATATATGCTTATTCAGAGGATTGCATCCCAAGTCAATCAGAAGCCCAAGAGTCCTTTAACCACATATTCAAGAGAAAAACTGAAGCAGCAAGAGTGATTCAGTATGACAAAGGATCCATAATTGCACAAGGGAACAGTGGAGAAGAACACAGCTTCAGGAAAAATGCTTCATCGGTGAACCTGCGTTCCACAATGCAGAAACACCAGGTAAATGTGGAAGCACTTTGAAATTCATTCAAGTATGCTTTAACCAAGCGTCTATTTTAATACCTACCTGACAAGACAGCATATAAATAGATCCCACCCATTTTCGAAATTCAAATATTAAGTAACATCAATATTTTACCAAACACCAAGAAAATAACTGTGTTATCTGCAACAATATCAAGTTAAAAGAAAAGGAGTTCTATTTGAAATAATATTATGAAAAGATATGGAAAAAAAAAGCGAGAAGGTGAAATATAGTGATGGAGTAGACAAAACAACTGTTTTGGATGGAAGAGAATACCACATTCTATCCAATCACCGTTGGTTGCCTCTTCGTTAGATGTGTCATCGTCAGATATCTCTGCATTGGATGTCTCTTCTTCAGATATCTCTTCATCATCAATATCAACACAAGGGATGTGTGCAACGAGGGGCCAATAATCTCCTTCCTCTTTTAAGCACCTTTCTTTCAGAAGAGGAGAGGAATTGATGAGCAGATATCCAAGTGTGGCAGGGAACCCTCCTGTGGCAGGACATGGAGTTTAGATCAGCCAGCAATCCATAATTCTTCAAGAGAGGTGGCGGAGTAAACAAGAGAAAGGATTTTAAATCATTTTCCTAAATAGCTGGTAAAGGAAGAGTACCTGATTCGCACTTCTTCATTTTTGGTTTTGTAATCCAGAATTCTCCTGGGATTTATGGAAGGATGGCATCTTATTCTAATCCCCATACACACAAACTCACAAGACTCACAGAATGTCACCTAGCTAACTGCCGCGTAAGCTGAAAACATGTTGCATAGCCCATTGCCGAAACAACACAACTGGCCAGTAATTGGGCACTAAATATGCTGCTCCTAAGCTTTCCCCTAGATCAACTTGCTCATACGACTTGGACAAAATAAAGAATCTCCTAGCCTTTTACGATCTGACAGCAACACTCTTAATGAGATGCACAACAGCAAGCATTCCTGATATGTTCTCATATTTCTTAAAGAATATGTCCAACGCTCCATGGGAATGTTATGATAACTTCATATACTCCAGTGTAAGAGCATTCAGGCTTCTGGACTATTAAAGCAAGCTTCTGTTCCTTAGAAATTGTAAAAACACAGTGCCAGCAAACATGGTAACATACAACAGTTTCTAAAATCAGATACTGCTACTATGAAAAATTCTATGAAAAAATGGTGCATAATTATATTTGTATTCATTACTTCTAAGAGTTGAAGACATTGGCAAACATAACATATATACCTCCGTAGTTCATAGCATAATAAGTGAGTTCCAACAGCTATAGATCTCTGGTGTAAGTCTAACTGCCCTTCAAGTCTTATTATCTAGCTAGCATGCCTCCCCGCTTCACAACTTCTAGCGCTTAAGCCACATCGAAATCCATCATCCCTCTTATTGTTCAGTTCATCAGATGGTTACCTGGCAGAATTAGTAAATGAATTATAGAAGCTATTCTCTCTAGAATGATTGAGGTTGCACTAGTAGTCAGAACGGATTATTATAACCTGAAACTATATTTCAACCTGGGCATAACCAGTTTTGCCACAAGCTAAATAGGGTTGGCATTTTAGCTAAATCATAATCAAAGGACTGAAACATAAGTAATATTTAAGTAAACGAAGACATGGATGGACTAGAGGCCAGACTGTTTTGACTAAGATCGAAAACTATAAAACCATTAAAAGATACGGGCAACAAACTGTAATTCTTCAAGAGAGGTGAGGTGTTGGATGCCACTGGATATGGATTTGAGTTTCTTTTGATCACTAATCTGGAGAGAAGTTAGTGAAGTGGGAAGCAGTAGACCATCATCATCTGGAAAGCAATCCTCATCTGTTGTATTGGAGATTGTGAGTCGTTTAAGATATGTGAGTGTATGGAGTCTCCACTCTGATATTGGCTGTCTCAGATTCTCGCAACCCATCACGGTCAGTGAAGTTAGCTTAGAAGGCAAACCCGCCTCAGGAAAGGATCTCAATTTCTTACAATACCATATAAATAAAGAGGTAAGACTGGGCAATTCCTGATCTGAGAATGACTCCAACTCATGACAGCCTTGTATAATCAATTTAGTGAGATTTGAGAGGTTAAGTAGGGAAGGCAGTGATTGTATTCTTTTGCAACGGTCAATTACAAGTGCTTTAAGAGAAGTAGGAAACTTGCCAGTTGGAAAGGACGTGATGGAGAATTTGGATACCCGCAAATACTCAAGGTGGGCATCACACCGCATAATTCCTTCTAGAAACCTATATTCAGACTCTAATTCTTTACATCCTTCAACATCTAATTTCTTGATTGTAGCAGGCAACTTCCCCCTGGGAAGTGATTTGAGCGATGGACAGTCTTGTATCACCAACTCTTCTAGAAGGCACTGATTGCTATTGTTGCTACTCATCACTGTCATCATCCCATCAGGCAGCGACTCCATAGAATCACACCATCTCATTTCAAGCCTTTTGAGAGAGTACGGCAAAATGCCTTCCGCTCCCTCCACCAATGACACGAGCTGCTTACACCAGAGGATACACAAACTCTGTAGATTAGCAAGTTTGTCCACATCAACGCCATCTTGCCACAAGTACTTCAGTTCACGGCAGTGTTTAATTTTCAGATCCTCAAGTGCTACTAAGGCCTCTACAAATGCTTCATGTAAACCCACAAGGCCTGAAATTTCACGAATTTCCAAGGTAGTGAGGGAGGTGAAATTAGGCGCCATTCTGAAAATCACCTCGTCACAACATTCCACTTTCAATTCTCGAAGAGATGGAACCATTTCAGGTAAATTTGTTAATTGTGGACAACCAGAAATGTGAAGCTTTTTGAGGGATGGAAGGCACCCGGGGAATTTCCCAATTAACTTAGGACAGTTTTGCAGTGTAAGCTCAACCAGCTTAGGAAATTTTCCACCAGCTGGTTCTTCATTGAGACCATCAGACAAATCCCAATGCTCCCACTCCAACAGAACCCCTACGTACAGAGTCTCCAAAGATGGAAAATTCTCAACAGTCATTCCTCTCAACTTATTCATCCCTTGTATCCTCAAATGCTTAAGAGCTGGAAGTTTTTCAAGTGATGGCAATGATGTGATTTTATGACAACCACTTAACTTTAGCTTCACCATTTTAGAGAATGATGCATCCCCAACCCACGATGGAAATTCTGTACCACCATATGAGATAATTGAAAGTATTTCTAGACTTCGATGTGGTTCTAGTGAGCTGAGGAGTTGCTTCTTATGGCTTTCATTTCGTGCATCTCGGAAACCGGAACTCCATTCCAATGTTAATTCACCTAAGCCATGCCTCTCCTTTAGATTCGCCATCTTTGCATCTCGAATGTCTGTAATGTTCTGCAACCCTTCAATGTGAAGCTGCCCTTGGAGATTTGGAAGCCTCGTCAACTCTCCTATCCCAAGTCCAATGCCATCTCCAATAACAAACTTAGGCATGAAGCGGAGATTTTTTAATTTACATATCTCCAATGGCATCTTTTGCAAATGAGGCGTGTCATTTATATCAAGGGGCTGCAAATTAATTAGATTGCCGATCCATGCTGGCAACTCCATAAAAGACTTACAGCCACGTAATATCAATGTTTGCAATTTCAACAGTTCACCCATTGATTCAGGCAACTTCTCGATTGAAGTGTTGTGGGACAGGTTAAGATAGCGCAAATGCTTCAAGGCACCAATGGATCTTGGCAACTCTTTAATACAATAATAAGCTAGTGATAGTGACCTTAAGCATTTTAACTTTGGTACCAAGTCGTCTAACACCGTATTTGATAAGTGCGTCGGTAGTCCAAATGATGAACTTCGAATTGCCAGTAATGTCCGCAAACTCTCCATTTCATAGAAAGCTTCAAACCTTTGTGAGGTGCCATACTAGTGAGAAATGAGTGACAAATGGCGAACCTTTGCATATGATGTTGCACCACTTGACTTCCTAGCATCCAAATGAGAGCATATTTCTCCACTAACAGACTGAGCAAGATCACTTATGAGATCATGCATTACATACCGTGATTCCCTCCTACTACACTCTTGGAAAAGTGATCTTGATAATAACTCCTTAAAATATTTGTGGCCCAAGTCTTTCCCCTGCTTCTTTTGCTCTGTTTTCTGCAGAAAACCCTCTGCCATCCAGAGCAAAACCAACTCATTCTCATCAAATTCGTAGTCTTTTGGGAAAATTGCACAATACGCAAAGCATCTCTTCAAAGGGGAAGGTAGGTGAAGATAGCTCAATCTTAGAGGTGCAAGAATGACACTTTCTCCTACGGATAGCTCCCATATCTCACTGTTGGCTATGCCTTCCCAATCTTCAAGGTTTTGTTTATGGCGCAGAAGTCCTCCAAGGGTCTTGGCTGCCAAAGGCAATCCCTTACACCTTTGTACGATCTTTTGCCCCACTTCTTTCAGATCTGGATTTGCGTCAAAATTTTCAGCGTCCAGAGCATGTCGGGCAAAGAGGCATAGACATTCATCATATGGAAGCTCTTTCAACATACAAGGAGCAACAGAACGTATCCTTAAAGCAACATCTTCTCCCCGAGTTGTGATAATGATTTTGCTTCCTGGTTCTCCTGCAGCAAAAGGAGCACAAAGTGTAGTCCAATCCTCATAGTTATGATCCCAGACATCATCTAGAACAATGAGAAACTTCTTTCCACGCAACTTCTCCTTCAGTTGCTCTTGAAGCTCATTTAAATCATCAGTTTCCCGTCCTCCCCGGAGAATTGATTTCGTTAGCCTGGTAATGTCAAAATCATTAGAAACACAAACCCAAGCTTTATGGTCAAACTTCACCCTCGCATCATTGTAGACGAATTGAGCGAGAGTGGTTTTCCCAATCCCTCCCATCCCAACAATTGGAATCACGGAGTACAGAGAGCTGCTTGGTTCGCTTTTCATCAACAATTCAACTAAATCATCCTTGGCCTTTTCCCTCCCATACACCTTAGGTTCCTTGACCAGTGAAGTTGTGAACACTCTCTGGTTCGCTTCGTTGGATCTCCCTCTAGCATTTGGCCCAAACCTAGATCATTTTTCTCTTTCAGAATATCTTCCCATCTGGCAGCGAGCTTCTGCAGCGTAAGGCTGTTGAGTATAGCAGCACTTGGTTGCACTGTACTAGTGCTGGCTTGAGAGGCTTCTGTTTGTAATTCGTCAAGTATGTCCTCCACATCATAAGCCAAGCCTCTGAGCTTGCTGAGCCAATTTTTCATAGACTGGTTTGTATCAGGCTTCTGTTCTGCATCATCAAGCACGTCATTAATTAGCAACAATCTTGATTCCCACTCTGACATCAACTTTGCAAACAATGGCTGGAGAGCATCAACAGGATCAGCTTCTGCTACTTCATCGTTTTGTACTAGCAAAGAAGTTGAAATTGTGTCACTATTCCTCATTGAGAAAGCGTGACTCGCACCCCAATTATTTTCAATCACTGGACCCACTTCATCTACTAGCAGCTGTCTAGTCTCATGTTCATCACCTGAAGGCCTCTCAGTAGTGATACTTCCCTGAATTTGCTGTGATGTTTCTCCAGTCGTGTTTTCTATCTGGATTCTTGCTCCTGCTCCTGAAATTCTCTCTCTTCCCCAACTTCTTGTTGTGTACCGGAATCTTCATTGTTTTGTACTGGCACTCTACTATCATGTTGGTGAACGGGAAGCCTCTCAGGAGTGGCCATCCTTCTCATAATTGTCTGCGCCGTTTCTTCATTCATGTCTTCTGTATGATTTTCTGCTTCTGCACAACAGACGTTTCTCTCTGCCCCTCGTAGTTGTCCTCTGATCATTTCATCTGGTTCTATAATACTCATCGGATTCGCAACTTCGGTGTTCTGTGCTTGTGGAGAAGTTGAAGTTGCCGTGCCCACATTAATATTGCTTGAACTAGGCATGGTTTTGCGTTTTTTGTTTGCAACTTGACAAGCTAGAAGAGCGTCCTCTTTGACATCAGTCGGCACTTGCCTACAAATCTCAACGCCTTGCCCTTTAACTCCTGATAAATGCCATTTGATCCTGGTAACAGAAGTACCAGCCCCAAATGTATGCCGACAAAATACGCACCTCGACCGGCCATCACTCTGTTTCTCAGCATAAACCCCAAATTGTCCAACCATTTTTAACTTCTTTTTCTTTAGTAGCTCTGCAGACACAATGACCCAAACAGATTGGTCAAAATTTTTGAATAAAAATGAAAGTCGAACAGTTAATTGGAAAAAAGAAAAAAGAAGCAAATCTAAAATAAGAATTTTGAGCAAATACTTTTGATTAGCCATAAATAGATACCTTGAATTTGAAATGAAAACTAATCATCTCTATCTAGGGAACCTAAGACCTTACCTTTTTCTTTTCTTTTTTTATGTTTTTTAAATGATTGAGGGAAATTAATTTGATCGAACAAGAAAAAAACAATGAAACTTAAAAAGTGTGGGAAATTACTTTGATCAAACAAGAAAAAATAATGAAGAAATCAAAACATATAAAGAGCTTAACGTGATTGCTTCTCTCCTATGAAGAAACCATCATTACTAAGAGGATCAACAACCTGGAAATTACATGACAGCCTTTTGTATTAAAAAACAAACTATTTGAAATCCAGTAACAGTATCGTTAGAGCCACCCAGAATAATCTAAGAAACTAGCTAGTAGTAATATGTTTAGCTTGAGAAACTAAGACAATGAACATGGACTGAATAGTTTTTAGCATTACCTTTGAATCTGCAGAAAGCTTGGAAACCTTAATTAAAGATGGCCAATGCGGGTGAAATTAACCTTGAAAATGAAAGATACTGTTTAATATCTTACAGAAACTGGTGTAATTAGCTTCTGAAGCTTACAGCACTAGAAAGATAGGGAGAGAAGTAACAAGGAGCGATCTTATGTTATTTTTTTTTTTTTTTCGGTGGCAAGGACTTTGAAGGAAGAGAAAGAAAGTTCACAGATTAAGAAACGTGAAAAAAACAAAGAAAAGAGAGTGGAAAGAAAGGAATAGGAAGGAGTAAACTGAGACAGATAAATAGGGTTCGAACAGGAGAAATTGCAGAGTGAAGGAAAATGATGGAGAGATGAAAGAGGAAAAGATGGAAGGGATGCTGTGAGATTGTAAAATGGTAAAAGACAAGATGAGAATAAAATAATTTTGAAGGGGTTGCTGTTGCTGGCGGATGAGCAGTCGTTGACCCTGAGTTTCAAGCGATAGACAAGTTGCAAATAAAATTAATCAGAAGCAAATTGTCTCAGAAGTAAGTAAGGAATGTTCATGGAAAAAGGTCATGCAAAGATGTGATTGGTAGGAACTTCTCTTTATTTTATCTGCCTAATGCTTGGCGTGATCGCTGTCCGCAAATGTGTAGGATTACCAAGGAATTCTAAAATTCTGTAGTACAACTTTAAACAACGGCCTTGGCTGGTTTTCTCCTCGAAAATAATGCAAGAAAGTAATATTTGAGAGAAATTTGTAATAATTAATAATAAATAAATGGATTGTAGCATCACAACTAGCAGAATTTCACTCTATGTATGAAATGGATGTTCAGAATTTGAACACAATTTTTGTCCTTAAGTAACTTGACTTGATGATCAAAAGTTAGCCCACACCGTAGAAATTGCCTTATCAGTGCCAACTGGTCATTAATTCGTGGACATGCAAACTGGTCGTCAGGATTTATTAGTGTCATTGTTTGTCTTACATGCCGACACAATTTTTTTTGTCCTTCGTCGACAATTTACTTATTTTATTCATCCTCAAGCAGATGGGAAACATCACTCTCCAAGGAAGTTGCAGGTTGCCTGGCTCCAGCCTCCACTTTTGACCAATGGATCGTGGTTTCGATGACTGTTACGTATCCTAATAGTTGTTATTTAACAGAATTAGACTTATTCGTTATTTTTATTCGAAGTTTTATACGAATAACCTCATTATTGATCAAACAAAAGCGCTATATTTTATTTATTCATTATTTTTATTATTGCTGCTTTTTTTTTTCAAAAATTTGAATTTATTGTGCTCTCTTTTAGATGCTACCCACATAAAATCTTACTTCTTGAAATTACAATGTATTTTTTTTATGATATTAAATTATTAGAAATATTATTAATTTTTTTTTAATCATGAATTCAATCATCGTTGTGCGATTGATATTAAACCGTAATAAATGTTATTATTATGCTTCATTAGTAAAGTTATTAAAAATATATAAATTAAAATAAATTTATGAACGACTACTAATGCATTCATGATATGAATTGTCGTAATTATTATTTTACTATTGTAACGATCCATGACTCGCAATTGTTTTTACAAACTCTTACTTATGCTATTTAAAACTACGAAACTATGCTATGCATGCCAAGTAATAACTTGTATAACTACTAATGTATTCATGATATGAATTTTCGTAATTATTATTTTACTATTGTAACGATCCAGGACTCGCAACTTGTTTTTACAAACTCTTACTTATGCTATTTAAAACTACGAAACTATGCTATGCATGCCAAGTAATAACTTGTATAATTATTTGTGTAATTATATGGGATTCTCGCTAGAAAAGAGAGGGCAAATAGGCGAGGACAAAGAATTGGCTAACCCCACTTGCAATTTGACAATAGTTAATTAACATTATCGTAACTTAGATGTGTCCGCCCACCTCTTTTACGTACGGTGAAATAGCAGGTATGCTTGTGGTTTGTTTTTTATAATATTTTAGAAGTGGCTCCCGGTTCCGTTAGACAACTAGTATCGGCTTGGCTTCCTAAAGGTAACATTATTGCTCAAAAACCTTTTTCTCGCATGATTGTTTTCAATTGTCTAGTGTGGGAGATTTGGTTAGCTAGAAATAGAGCTGTGTTTGAGGGGGAACTCATAAATTTAGTATTAATCAAACATAAGGTACTGCATTGGCTCAATGAATTGTCAAATTTATTTAAGCCAAGGCATGAAATATCATTCCATGATAACCTTTGCATTAATGCTTTGGGTATATAGATTCGAGCCATTATTCCTATCGGAGGCGGTTGGGTCCGTTGGCAACTTTCCCCCATTGGTAAATTGAAATTAAACATAGATGGAGCCTCTAGGGCTAATGTCCGTACTGGTGGTGGCATATTGAGAGATGAGAGGGAATCTCATTATGGCATACTCGAGGTTTTTTGGGACAAGTACTAACTCAAGAGGTGAAGTTTTAGCTCTTTTAGACGGCCTTCGATTATGTAAATTGCATAATCTTTCTCATGATATAATAGAAGGTGACTCGGCTATGATATTAGGGGGTTTGTCTTGTGCATCCTCAATTCCTTGACGACTAACCTACATCTTTAGAGAGTGTTGGGCAATCAATTCTCATTCTATTACAATTCAGCACATTCATAGAGAAGGAAATATTGCTCGCTGACGAGCTTGCTGATTGGGCCTTTCTTCATCACTCAAGCAAAATCGCTTTTGCGTTATAGGAACTATCGTTATCTTGTCGCAAGGCAATATTAAATGACAGGAATGGTATATTCAATTATCGCTCGAGTCTTAATTAGTTGACTCGACTATAGTTATGACTATGATGTAAAGAACTTAGAGTTCGTTGATATGTTTATGGGATTTTGTTCAATTTATCGGATGTTTATTGAGTAGGGGTTAAGTTTTCTTGTCCTCCGAGTTTATTGGCCAGGCTGGAGTTATCCGCCCTTTGTTGTTTTTCCACTTTGATATTAATATATTTTCAGGGTACCACCCATATTTTCAAAAAAAAAAAAAAATGATGTGTCTACCCAACCAATCATAAAAAAATCATACGTATATCTTTCGATTCACCACGGCAAGATCTGCATTCATAAAAACAAATGCCAACATGACTAAGTTCACAACAGTACAGTAGCTACAAATCACAGAATACCGAGAGTTGATTGGTTCGGCTTTCATCAATAATTGAACTAAATCCTCTTTGGCCTTTTCCCTCCCATACACCTTAGGTTCCTTGACCAGTGATGTTGTCTGCACTCTTGGGTTTGCTTTGTTGGACCTCCGTATAACATTTATGTCAAGATCACTTCTCTCTTTCACGATATCTTCCCATCTGGCAGCAATCCCTTGTAGCTTAGGTCCATTAGGCATAGCAGCACTTGGTTGCACTGTGCTTGTGCTGGCTTGAGATTCTGCACTTTTTAACTTGCTTGTCAAGACTTCTGTTTCAAATTCGTCCACTATGTCCTCCACGTCACAAGCCAAGTCCCTGAGCTTGTCGAGCCAGATTTCCATAGCCCGATTTGTCAGTTGCTTCTGTTCTTCATCATCGAGCATTGAACGAATTTGCAGCAATCTGGATTCCCACTCCGACATAAGTTTTCCAAACAAAAGCTGAAGATCAGCTTCTGCTTCTTTTTCCTTCTGTATTTGCAAAGAAGTTGAAATTGTAGTATTTGCCACATTGATCAAGACAGGATCCTTCATTGACGAAGCTAACATCTCAGCCCAACTATTCTCTGGTCCAGTTTTCTATCTGGATGGACTGCAATGTTTCTCTGCTCCTGTTTTTAATGTACCTCTCTCTCATTTTCACAGCTGCATTTTTACTGCACTTTCTTTTCATAGTTACGCAATGCATTGCTGATTGTGGTCACTTGATATTTCTGTTTGTTGAAAAAGACATTTTTTTTATGCATCGGAAGTTAAATGTAATCTCAGCTGTGGAAGAGTTGGTTGGTTACTAGCAGTGTGTTAGTTCGGACCAGCTTAATTTCTGTCCTAGGTAGATTATTTTTTTCTTTTTTAATTTATCCTGCTGAATGAGTTGAGATATGTTAACGTAGATTGAAGAAAAATTTTGGTGAAGGATGTTTGATACTATAGCCTGCACTTTTGTAGAGGATAATTTGTATTTTTGGCACCATAATTCCTGCAGTTTCCAATGGAAATTAAATTTCCCAATTTCATGATTTTAATGTTTGCCTTGATAAAGAATTGCTGCTTGTGGCGTTGATTTTTCATTTGGATGGTTTTTATTATCAAATATAGGGATGGAAGGACATGATTAAAACTTTCTTTAGGGATAAAATTGATACAAAAATTTGTTTGGGGGCAAAATTGAGATGTTGGTATAATTAGGGGGACATTTTTTTGGGTTCCCTTAAGAAAAATTAGATTGCAACAGTCCAAGCCCCTGAAAGTAGTAAATTACAATTAGTTCTCTAGCTTCGAGATATGAATTAATTAGTTTTAAAAATTAATTTTTCAATTTTTAATTTTTTTTGTAATTTAATTTTTTTGTTTTGAAGAACAGAAAAAAATGAAAAAATAGAAAAGAACTAATGATATTTTTTAAAATAAAATAATATTAAATTAAATATCATCAATTCAATTTTTTTTGTAATATTAAATTAAATGTGATCAACTCGATTTTTTTGGGACTGCTTTTTATGAAGTTGCACAGGAAGCCGGTGTTGCTATCTAAGAATTGCTCCATGGATCTCATTGGAAATAATTGATGTTTCTTAGCGTTTCTTTGGCGAATGTGAAACTAGTGAATAAACAAGGGAAATTAATTTATTTATTTCTCAAAAATGGAGAAACTAATTTATAATTTATTCCTGAAAGCTTGAAACACAACATTGACAAAATAATAGAACAAAAGGTTGACCATAAATTAAAATTATTTCACAAAAATGAACTCATCTATTCTACCCTAGCACATTTCATGCCCCAAAAAAACAAGAAGCCTGGTGAAAAAGGCAAATAATATCAATTATTCCTTACAGGTTCCGGCCTTCCAGGTATCCTCTTCGAAATGAGGCTCCAGGGGGGTCTTGCTACTGGCACACTAGTAAATTCAAAACCCTACATAAATTGCTCGTCCATCTAGCAGCTGCAATTAATCAAATGTTATTCTTGGTATGACAGCTTAGAGAATGGAGTCATGGGAAGCAATGCAATTACCTTTCCATTCATCCCCTCACAAGCTTTGACAACATCGTCCTTCTTGGAAAAGGTCACATATCCATAACCTTTAGGTCTGTTTCTAGCTTTGTCCATTACTATTTTAGCTTCAATGACTTCTCCAAATTCTGAAAATGCTGCAACTATCGTCTTTTCGGTACTGGAGAAAGATAAACCTGCAGAAAAGCTATTAGTTCTAGCAACAGAAATAACAAGTAAGAATGGCATATAGCAAGGATATAGCTTCTAGATTGAAAGACAGCATAGTCCTGTGTTAATTGGATTCGATATCAATCGAAATCCAGTATATCTGGTTGAAGCCTGGCTGCAGGAGGGTTGCAGAGTTGCAGGAGGTAGGCTGCCAACACAAAAGCAATCACATCCTTTTGTCCCAAAAGCAAGAAAACAATAAAAAGCACCGAATCGAAAGAAGACACCTGTGACTGATGGTTCGAAATCAAGGTTCAGTTGAGTTATACGAGCACATACTCCGCAACTCCCAACCCAGAATTCAAAATACTGCAGTAGCTAAATTGACTCATCATGGGTATAATACAGTAAATCAGACATGCTCAGGCAGCACATTACTTATGTGGGAAAGCACCAAGTTTGTCCAACTGTATACCAAATAATCCTTGAACATGCTAGCAAAGCAAAGCTCATAGCAGAACAGATGAACCCCATATGTACAATTCTAGGATATTTTCATCTGAACAGACAAATTTGAAGAAAAGTAGCTCAACCTTAAGCAGAAACAGGAGCAATCTTTAGAACAAATAGACAAAACTCTTTAAATTTGTACAACTAAAGAGGCTTTTAAGTTTCAACTGAAACGTAAAAACTTAGGGCTTTAGATTAACTAGATTACAAAAATGACTCCTATGCTAGCCAGGCTAAGAAAGAAGTAGATAAACCTGGCAAATCCCTGAGTCATGTTGGACAGAAATGAGACCTGTAAACTAGGTTGTGCAGACTGTGCAAATGTGAAGTGAAAGCAAGAAGTTCCAAATCTTGTTTCATCTTTAAATGACTTGGTGTACGTTCAAATGGGAAGCAGAAAACATGACTGATCATATCATTCAAATTAGAAGAAGAAGAAAAAAACCTTCCTTTTTCCCCTATTCTTCCACAAAACTAATCCTAAAATTTAACTCCAATTAATAACAAATTTGGATGAAAAATGTTGGTTTTTTTTTTTAATAAATTGATTGAACTTACTGAGACCAAGAAACGAATGCTAAATTTCTGTTGGGTGTTACAAAATTTGTATTGTTTCCAAACACCAACAGCAAACACATAGGCTAAATTTCGTCAGGAGAGAGAATACCTTTAACAAAAAGTTTGGATGAGAACCCTCTGGAGAAGAACAGTAGGGGATGGAGTTGAGGTTGGGAGAAAGGTTTGAGAGAGCATTGGGTAATTCCTCTGAATGCTGCCATTTCAATTCTTGGGAAGAGACGCAGGGCAATTTATGAAGGAAGTAATTTTGCTGTGTGGAGAGCAAGGACGACAGGAGTAGGAAGTAAATTATAAATAAGTCCCTCTAGTTTCAATAAACGAATTTATTAGTTTCTTTTGTTTTAAAATTATTATTTAATTCTTTAACCACTATACTTAATTTAATATTATTTTTATTTTACAAAATAACTTCTTCTTTTATTAATTTTTTCATTTTTTATATATTTTTCTCTCTTTTTTTTTCAAATTAAAAAATTTTAAAAGAGCAAAAATGATCAAGTTAGGAGTAGATTTAAAAATATAAAATTAAATAATTAGTTTTTTTTAAAAAAAAGGATAAATTAATTCATTCATAAAAAAACAAGGAAGCTAATTTATAATTTACTCGGAGCGGAGAGTTAAACCATTTTGGGCAAACTTCAAATAAGTCCTCCAATTATATAAATACATTTATTTAAGTTTTATTATTTTCAAACATTTTAAAATATCTACTAATGTGAAAAATATTTAAGTTCCGAAGAGAATTTAGTGTTATTTTTTCATGAGTTATGGAAAAAGTTACTTTTTTATTTTGAGTTATAAACAAAAAGTTATTTTTCATAATTTAGAGTTATTTTGCATGAATTATTTCTTATCATTGTATTTGCTTAATTGTGTGAACAAAATAAGTAAAAAATAAAAAATAAAAAATCAGATTTTGTTCCTGAAAATTATAAATAAAACAGCACTTAAATATAGTAAATTATAAATGTAGATCTGTTTTCTGCACAGATGCTTCTCTCATATCCTCCTCTAGTATCCTCTTGGATCCAACGACCATCAACTCATGGACTAGAGCATTGAGAAACAGGTCATTGAACTGATATGTGAGCTGAATACAACATAAACATAACTCTAATGGATAGCGGGCAGAAACAGCAAAACTAGTCTATCCTTAGGCACCTCAAAAGAATTTGCTCCTAAGCTTTCCCATACGCCAACTTGTTCGCAAGACTTTGACATCCTTAACACCTCTTCTCCTAACCTTCATGATCTGATTGGAGGCAACACTACGACCCAGGGTCCTAAGGTGATGCATTTGCTCTGTTGTTCATTTCCTTGTAAATTAACTAATCTTCATGTCATCCGAAACTTGGGAATAGTGGGATAACTTCATGCTCTCAGAGGAAATTCTGCTTCTGGACTATTGAAGCAAATTTCTATTCCTTGGATCATAATAAAACAATTTCTGCAAACCTGGAAACATTCAACAGTTTCTGAAAATCTGGTACAGGAGAGAACCAATGCCGAAATTATACGAAAAAAGTGGGTGCGCACTTGTTTCTGTATTCGTTCACTTTTTAGAGTTAACGCACGAGCAAGCACAGGGCACCTTCACGTATAAAGGTTATAACCATGGTTACAAAAGTTTACACTTCAGCCACGTCGCTTCTCCACCTTCCTACAGCAGAAAATCAAATGCATCAGTGAAGATAAACTCAACAGGACATTGTTGAAATAAAATCAGCAGAATTTGCAGAGAGCATAATATTATTTAGTGGAGATATGCTCAATTGTTCAGAATTGTACATTTTTTTCTGAAGCAACAGGTATGCACATTGAAGATCCATGATGCTCCAAAGGTAGATGGGATACCAAATAATAATAATAGTAGTAGTATGTAATTTCATCTATAAGAAATGTTCTTAAGATAGTTTTTAGCACACAATGAAATATTTAAAATATTTTTTAATAAAATAAATGCCCTATAGCAATTAATGCAATTGTAGTTATCATTGTGGCGGGGGGACAAAAAAATAAATAAAGGAAGAATTACCTGATTCGCTTGGCTTTTTGGGTGGGTATGGATAGACTTCAACTCGAGCGATGTGTGCAATGATGGGCCAATAATCCCCTTCCTCTTTCAAGCACCTTTCTCCCAGAGAGGACAATTAACGATTTTTAGAAGTCCAAGTGCAGCAGGGAAGCCCTCCTTTGGCAAGACATGGAGTTCAGGACAATTATCAAACCATAATTGTTCAAGAGAGGTGAGGTGTTGGATGCCACTGGATATGGATTTGAGTTTCTTTTGATTGTAGATATGAAGCAAAGTTAGCGAAGTGGGAAGCAGTAGACCATCATCATCTGGAAAGCAATCCTCACCTGTTGTATCGGAGATTTTGAGTTCTTTAAGAGATGTGAGTGTATGGAGTCTCCACTCTGATATTTATAAATTTGTTAATTGTGGACAACCGAAAATGTGAAGCTTTTTGAGGGATGGAAGGCACCTGGGCATTTTCCCAATTAACATAGGACAGTTTTCCAGTTTAAGCTTAACAAGATTAGGAAATTTTCCACCTGGTTCTTCATTAAGACCATTAGACCCATACCATTGCTCCCACTCCAACATATCCCCTATGTACAAATGCTTTAGAGCAGGAAGTTTTTCAAGCGATGGCAATGACGTGATTTTATGACAACCACTTAACTTTAGCTTCACCATTTTAGAGAAGGAGGGATCCCCAACCCATGATGGAAATTCTGTACCACCGTATGAGATAATTGAAAGCCTTTCTATACTTCTATGTGGTTCTAGTAAGCTGAGGAGTTGTTTCTCATAGCTTTCATTCCCTGCATCACAGAAACCGGAAATCCATTCCAATGCTAATTTACCTATGCCAAGCCTCTCCTTTAGATTTGCCATCTTTGCATCTCGAATATCTGTAACGTTCTGCAACCCTTCAATATGAAGTTGCCCTTGGAGATTTGGAAGTCTCCTCAACTCTCCTATCCCAAGTCCAATGCCTTCTCCAATAACAAACTTAGACATGAAGCGGAGATTTTTTAATTTACATATCTCCAATGGCATCTTTTGCAACTGAGGTGTGTCATTTATATCAAGGTGCTGCAAATTGATTAGATTGCCGATCCATGCTGGCAACTCCTCAAGATATACACAGTGACATAATATCAATGTCTGCAAGTTAAACAGTTCACCCAATGATTCAGGTAACCTTGTAAAGTTAGTCGTGGACAAGTTAAGATAGCGCAAATGCTTCAAGGCACCAATAGATCTTGGCAACTCATTGAAAAAATAACAAGCTAGTGATAGTGCCCTTAAGCATTTTAACTTTGGAACCAAGTCATCCAACACCTTATTTGGTAAGGAGTTCAATTCATATGATGAACGTGGAATTATCAGGAATGTCCGCAAACTCTCCATTTCATAGAAGGCTTTAAAACTTAGTAAGGTTTCATACTCGTGAAAAGTGAACGACAAATGGCGAACTTTCGCATATGATGTTGCACCACTTGAGTTCTTATCATCCAAATGAAAGCCTATTTCTCCACTAACAGATTGTGCGAGATCGCTTATAAGGTCATGCATTACAAACCCTAAGCTCTTGCTACAACACTCTTGGAAAAGTGATCTTGATAATAACTTCTTAAAATATTTGTGACCCAAGTCTTTCCCCTGCTTCTTTTGCTCTGTTTTCTGCAGAAAACCCTCTGCCATCCAGAGCAAAACCAACTCATTCTCATCGAATTCATAGTCTTTCGGAAAAATTGCACAATAGGCAAAGCATCTCTTCAAATGGGAAGGGAGGTGATGATAGCTCAATTTTAGAGCTGAGAGAATGACGCTTTCTCCTTCGGAAAACTCCCATATCTCACTGTTCGCTATGTCTTCCCAATCTTCAAGGTTTTGTTTGTGGCGCAGAAGTCCTCCAAGGGTCTTGGCTGCCAAAGGCAATCCCTTACACCTTCGTACTATCTTTTGCCCGACTTCTTTCAGATCTGGGTTTGCGTCAAAATTTTCTGCATCCAGAGCATGTTGGACAAAGAGGCATAGACATCCATCATACGGAAGTTCTGTCAACATATAAGGATCAACAGAACGTATCCTTAAAGCAACATCTTTTTCACGAGTCGTGACAATGATTTTACTTGCTGGTGCTCCTGCAGCAAAAGAAAGCACAAAGTGTAGTCCAATCCTCGTAGCTATGCTCCCAAACATCATCTAGAACAATGAGAAACTTCTTCGCAAGCAACTTCTCCTTTAATTTTTCTTGAACAATGTTTAGATCACTATCTTCACATCTTTTCCAATGTAAAAGAATCGTTTTGGTTAGTCTAAGAATGTCAAAATCATCGGAAACACAAACCCAAGCTTTATAGTCAAACTTCACCCTCGTATCATTGTAGACGAATTAAGCAAGAGTGGTTTTCCCAATCCCGCCCATCCCAACAATTGGAATCACAGAATACCGAGAGTTGCTTAGTTCGTCTTTCATCAATAATTGAACTAAATCCTCTTTCGCGTTTTCCCTCCCATACACCTTAGGTTCCTTGACCGGTGATGTTGTCTGCACTCTTGGGTTTGCTTTGTTGGACCTCCGTATAACATTTATGTCCAAGCCAAGATCACTTCTCTCTTTCATGATATCTTCCCATCTGGCAGCAATCCCCTGTAGTTTGGGTCCACTAGGCAGAGAAGCACTTGGTTGCACTGTACTTGTGCTGGCTTGAGACTCTGCACCTTTTAACTTTCTTTTCAAGGCTTCTGTTTGGCATTCGTCAAGTATGTCCTCCACGTCATAAGCCAAGTCTCTGAGCTTGCTGAGCCAATTTTTCATAGCCTGGTTTGTATCTGGCTTCTGGTCTGCCTCATCAAGCACGTCATCAATTAGCGACAATCTTGATTCCCACTCCGACATCAACTTTCCAAACAATGGCTGGAGAGCATCAAAAGGACCAGCTTCTGCTACTTCATCGTTTTGTACTTCCAAAGAAGTTGAAATTGTGCCACTATTCCTCATTGAGAAAGCGTGAATCGTTCCCCAATTATTTTCAATCACTGAACCCACTTCATCTGCTAGCAGCTGTCTAGTCTCATGTTCATCAACTGGAGGCCTCTCAGGAGTGATACTTCCCTGAATATGCTGTGATGTTTCTCCAGTCATGTTTTCTATCTGAATTCTTGCATCTGCTCCTGAAAATTCTCTCTCTTCCCCAACTTCTTGTTGTGTACCTGAATCTTCATTGTTTTTGTACTGGCACTCTACTATCATGTTCGTGAACGGGAAACCTCTCAGGAGTGGCAGTACTTCTCAGAACAGTCTGCTCTGTTTCTACGTCCATGTCTTCTATATGATTTTCTGCTTCCGCACATGAGACATTTCTCTCCGCCCCTTGTAGTAGTCGGATCATTTCATCTATTTCTAAATCACTCATGAGATTTGCAACTTCGGTGTTCTGTGCTTGTGGAGAAGTTGGATTTGCGGAGCCCACATTGATATTGCTTGAACTAGGCATGGTCTTAAGTCTTTTATTTGCACCATCAGTTGCTAGAAAAGCTTCTTCTTGGACATTTCTCTCTGCCCCAAGTTGTAGTTCTAGGTTCATTTCATCTATTTCTAAAAAGCTCATCAGAATCGCAACTTCGGTGTTCTGTGCGTGTGGAGAAGTTGAAGTTGCGCTGCCCACATTAATATTGCTTGAACTAGCCATGGTTTTACGTTTTTTACTCTCACAAGCTCGACGAGCCTCTTTTTGGACGTCTTCCGGCACTTCCCCACAAATCTTAACAACCTGGAAATCACATGACAGCCTTATTATTGAAAAACATGCTGTTTGAAAACCACTAACAGTAGTTTTAGAGCTACCTGAAATAATAGAGTAAATTATAAATTAATCCCTCTAGTTTTGAGACATGAATTAATTAATCTTTTTTATTTCAAAAATTAGTTATTTGGTCCCTGCGTTTTAGAATTTACTTGTAATTTCTATTCAATTTATTTTTATTTTTATTTTAAAAATAGAAAAAATATATATATGAAAAATTGATGAGAAAAAATTAATTAAATTAAGTCCTCAAAAGAACTAAATAATAATTTTTAAAATAAAAGAAACTAATTAATTCATTTCTAGAAGGATTAATTTATAATTTACTCCTAGAGTAATCTAGGAAACTATGTAGTAGTAATGTGTTTAGCTTGAGAATCTAAGACAATGAACATAGACTTAAAGTTTCCAGCATTACCTTTGAATCTGCAGAAAGCTTGGAACCCTTAATTGAAGATGGCTAAATCCGGTGAAATCAACCTTGAAAATGAAAGATATTGATTAATATCGTACATAAACTGGTGTAATTAGCTTCTGAATCTTACAACACAAGAAAGTTACAGAGAGAAGTAACAAGGAGGACTGTTTTTTTTTTTTTTTTTTGGCAAGGACTTTGAAGGAAGAGAAAGAGAGTTTACAGATTAAGAAGTGTGGAAAAAGAAAAAGAAAAGAGAATTGAAAGAAGAGGAATAGAGAGGAGTAAAGTGAGACAGATAATTAGGGTTTGAACAGGAGAAGTTGCAGAGTGAGGGAAAAAGATGGAAGGAATGGTATGAGATTGCAAAATGGGGAAAGACAAGATGAAAATCAAATAATTTTAAAGGGGTTGCTGTTGCCGGTGGATTAGCACTCGTTGTCATTGACCTTGAGTTTCAGGAGATAGACAATGTAAATAAAATTAATCAGAAGCATGATCCCTGGAGAAAATGATAATATACTCCTTCGAATTGTCACAGAAGTAACTAAGGAATTTTCATGGAAATAACTGATGCAAAGCTGTGATTGGTGGGAACTTCTCTTTATTTTTTTATCTCCCTAATGCTTGGCATTATCGCAGTCTGTAAATGTGGAGGATTAAGAAGAAATTCTGAAATTCTGTTCCACAAACTTTAAACAATGACAGGCTGGTTTTCTATGTTGTGTATGCCTGAGGGGGCTTTTTAGCAGAAGTCTAAGAACTTAGGGCTTGTAGATGGACTCGACACTTTAAAAGGATACTTTCTGTTTTTGAATCCAAGTCCGACCTGCCCCTTGAAGAAGCCTATGCGGCACCTTAGGCACCACCTGAGAGCTGTAGGTCGGCCTTGGCTCCACCACTTGCCATGGGCTTTGGACACAACAGGAAGCCTAATCGTGATTAATAGGCCAGAATCGCCCTTCTGTGTTCCCAGCAATTGCCATAGAAAACCCTAGAATTTTCACCCTAAATCTAAATAACGGCTGTTATGTTGTTATGGTACATTGCATAACATAATGACCAATGTGTAACGATGTCAAAACCTTTATTATCGCTATTCAACGTTACATAACAGACGATTTCAAGACTTCTATTATCGTTATTTAGTATTATATAATAGCAATGACTATTATTTTACTACTGTGAAATTACAATCAGCCACAACCTGCAATTGCAACCGGCATCATTTTTTCAACCGCATCCATGATTTAAAATTATGCTCTTAACAACATAGTCTTCACATTTTCTTAATTAAAAAAATTTGTTAACCATTGATCACTTCCAAGAAAGCTACAAGAGGCATTGATGAGTTTCCAACTTAGCAACTTATATTTGATACAATCGAGGATATTCATACAGGATCATATTTAATTTGAAAACATGTATTTGATCAGGCATAGAAAAACAAAAACAGAATATACTATCATCGAAAAGTACTCATTAAAGCCACTAACTTGGAGAGCAAAATGCTATACAGATGGGGGATTTTCAGTTCAGATTCTTAGATAGGGGAAAGAACTACACATATAGGACAAAAAAACTCTGATGAGTAGATGGTAATGGCCAGTTCCAATAAGTCAAGAATGGTGTGCATTCAGAAGCGCTCGATAAACCATGTCAATGAATTGATCGTCCTAGAACACAAAGGGAGAGCTTGTTAGACATGTAAAGCAAAGCAAAATGCAGTAGTAGAAACACAATAATAATGAATTGAAGGGGTGAGGGGGAATTTAAACCACCAGAACTAATAAATACAAAAAAAAATTATTAAACCACAAATGATTGTGGAAATGTTCTTTTCTTTTTTCTTTGTGATTATTTTGGCAAACTAAAGCCAATCACATGTAAAAATTAGATCCTAAGGGCAGCATTAGATCTAATAAGCCTCAATCTCGGAAGACAGGAATTCGATAATTAACATGAGAAAGAAGTGTTGATAATGTACTTGCAAATAGAAGAATGTGAAATAAAAAATGATCTCCAAAACCAAACAGGTATGCAGCAAGGCTATCACTTTGATTTGGTTTACTATGAATATAATTAACTCAGATGAAAACGTCTGACAACCTTAGCACATAAAACATCTAACAATTGCATGGAGGAGAAAATTCCTTCCAATATCATCGAGATTACTGTAATTTGCATGAAAAGGAACTCTTTAGCAATTAGGCCGGATTTTTTGCTTGTTTTCTTTGTTTCAGACTTGGCTATTAAGACTCATCTTTTAGGGTAAGATTAAATCTCCTTGCAGGATTTGGACTTCACTTTAAGACTGATTTCTTAAGAGTGTCTAAATCCAAAGTACTGCAACAGCTAGATAGATAACATAGGGAAAAAAAATCCTGTTCAAGTTCGTAATTTTATTCAGTGGTGAGAACTCCATTTAACTTCTTCTTCTACTTCTACGTGAGATTCATTGAAGGCCTCAGACACCAAGATTCAAGTCTCTTCCATACCCTAATAGCCCCATTCTATCCAAAGTCAGCCCCTTTAAATCCCGAATTAAACTCTAGTCTCTCTTGGTGTAAATCCAACAGAATACTCAACTCTTAGGCCACCCATACAGATATGCTAGGGGCAATAACACTTCTCTTTACTTTTACTAAAATACAACAATTATTATATTGATTACAAGACCCAACAGATTAACATTATCAAATTAATTAGACAAATACTACCACAAATTGGCACATCAGTTAATAAAATAAAATTTGGTAACCCTCACAGTAATTTTTTTTTTTTTTTTTGGGGTACAAGTAAGCCTAACAGTATTCATCGTTGAACAAATCCATAACCATTAATTCTCAAATTCAAGGCTGTCCTACATCATTGCAGGCCCCTAACAGTAAATTTTTTTTTTTTTTTTGACAATTAACCCTAAAAGTATTCATCGTAGAACAAATCCATAACCCTTAATTCTCAAATTCAATGCTGTCCTACATCATTGCAGGCCCATCTATAGCTGCTCAAATATGTGATCTGCATGCTTTTAATTGGCTGTTACCATATCCAAGCATTTTTATACGGGAACACAAGTTGATGACTCCAATTTTGACGTTCTGGTTACCGAAAGACTAACCTCAGCCAATTTATGCATTTAAAATTTTAACTTCAGCTTCATACATTCTGCCATCATCATACAAGAGAAACTAACCTGAACAAGTGCCAGTAGTGCATCTCGGATTTTGTCTTTGCTGATAACTGGCCCATAATTTGGACTGGGAACAGAAGCAGGAGTAAGAGACGGTGGAGGAGTGGGTGGTGGAAAAGGCTGAAGCAATGGAGCACCATATGGACGTTGAAGACTTGTAGGAGGATTGAGTGTAGGAGGAGTAGGAATAGAAGAAGAGACAGGTGGCATCATCCGTGCAGAAGAAGATGGAGGAGGAACGAAAAAGGAAGGCTTTACAAGGTTAGCTGTCTGGTTGTTGTTGCTGCTGACATCAGAGACATCAAGAAGTGGCATTAAAGGAGTAGATGCTGATTGTGGAGGAGATGGTATTTGCAAGGTTGGAATGGTGGTGGAGGCAACACAATTTGGTTGGGAGGTTAAAGGGATTGGAATCGGAGGTTGGTAAGGTTGTCCAGCAACTGCAGCAGCTGATGCATTCCCAATTGTGATAGCTGTCTGCAAACATTCAAGCAAAACACTTAGTGCTGGTCACTCACAACGATTTTAAAAAAGTGAACTCCAAAAGTAGAAGATGCTCAATGTTACGAGAATCCAAACAACAAATTTGTCTATGTTTGAGAAGGGAAAAAGCGAAGATAAGACTAGCTCATAGAGAAGGCCAACTACAGTACTTACACTAAAGAAGTTCACAAAGGCAGGATCATCAGGCACATCAGAGACAACTGAAGCAGTTGAAGATGATGGCTCTAGAGGACCGTCCATAACTGCCATAGTTGGTACAGCTTCTAGTTCCTCAAACTCACTGCAATTAAACAAATCATATGAATTAAACTACGTGCAAAACATTGTAGTTTCAAGTCCATAATAAAATTCATAATTGATTATCAGGTCTCTTTCATTAGGATACTAAGATCTTTAAAAAGAAAAGAATGGATTTCACATGAGCAGTTCCCAAGGTTTTATTGCAACCATCAATATTTGAGCCTCAAGGTTTAGAGTAGGGTGGCGTCTGGATTAGGGTTAAAAAAAGATGATTAAATATTAAGGGTTTAAGTTCTAAGATTGTAAAGAGGTGGTTGAAGGGTGAAAGTGTTAAATACTTTTAAGTGGATGTTACAGTCAAATAAAATGTTAAATTAAATTTGATTAAAAATAAGTTATTACCTTTTTGTTAACGATAGTGATACCTTTGGCTTCTGAGGCACCTTGGAGTATGCATTTAGTATCCTGGACAAAGAAAAAAAACACAAGATAGGATAATTGTGCTTTTAAAGGTGAAAATTAAGTAGTTTTAAGTGAACATGAATAGAGCACCCCATAGAGGAATCAAGCTAGAATATTTAACAACCAAACCTAAAGGCTCTATCAGTAGATATATCATCAAATGAACAAATGACAGGCTTTCCCTACATATCCATAACTTATATACCATGTAAGATCTAGTCATTCCTCCCAATTATAATATTGCAGGAAGGTTGATTTCCTGTTGTCTGAGGCTTACATGTTTCCAAATCCTTGATAAAACATTTTAGAAAACCCATACAACATACTAAGAAGGATGATTAGAAATTTATTGCAGGCAAAGTGTCAAACAGATTGGAATTTCAGGGTTCAGACAAATGCTGAACCTTCATACCAAGGGCCAAATGCACAGAATGATGAGCAACCTGTTCATATACCCGTTTCCCAACAACATGGCAAGTCACTAGATCAAGGGATCATAGCTACTGCACATTCTTGGTGTCAAAATGTAGCTAAGTTAACCATCAAAATGGAATTTTTCCAATGGGGGAAAATCTTCTAATGCATAACTTTTGACAATACACACCTGTAAGCCATGTAAAGTTGCTTTATCCAACCTCTTCTACTTTGGTTGGTCACTTCACTATTCTTGGCATACATCTCAACTATCCGAGGTTATGTTCAATTGGGACACAACAGGGATGATTTAGGTGTAGTCCTAATTTAACCATTTAAAACAATTGTCCAAAGCCAGAGCATGGATTCCAAACCCAGTGTATTTTTACCATTCTGCCAGAGAGGGGGAAAAAAGCCCCATACTTCCTAATACAAAGATGTGAATAATCATTTTGCAACATCCTAAGTAGCACAAAAGCTGGGGATTACCCCAAATCAAACTACCGAAAAACGAAATTTTTCTTAGAATGATGACAAACTAAACACTAGGAAGACAAAACTCACCTGCTGAAAAGATTAGCAACCTCTTCACACTCGTGTGTATTATAGAACCAAATACCATTCACTTCTTGGGCAGCATTTCGATACAAAAGATACGGAACCTGAACCTCATACTCAAAATCTCCCAGAAGATTTTCCACCAAATTATCTGATCCATTCCACCAACATAATTAACAACCTTCTCTTAACAACAATGAACTAAATAACAATTAAAATTCCCAACCTGTATTTCGCCGATTCATGACAATAAACTGAAACCTAGGTTGCGTATTCCTGTTTCATTCATTTCCAAAAAAAAAGCTTAATTTTCTCTTACAAAACACAAAAACATTAAACAAAACAAATACTGAAAAAAAATAAAACCTTTTAACAACAAAGAGAGATCCTTCCACGTCTTTCCGACTCTGTAAACATAAAAAAGAAAATCAAAATGATAGGCGAATTTAAAAAAAAAATAGATGATGTTTGTTTACCCATTGGCTAAGGTCGATATTAAACTCGTATAAAGTGACATGAGCAGCAGTGATTAAAATTTCTTCAACAAAAGGATCGATTCGCTGAAGAACTGTTAAATTGAGGAGCTTTGTGCTCTGCTGGTCAAGATTCGGCATCAATTTCCCATTCGGTGGCATTCTTTTAGTTCAATTATCGTCGTCGTTTTTGTTTAATTGAAGAAATTGAAAATTTCACAAACCCTAGAATTTGGGGTATTTGGAATTTAAATAGTAATGAATAAAAATAATTAATAGTAAACAAATAAGGAAAGAAATGAATATAATGATGAGGTTCTAGACCGTTTGGTGACGATGACTGTTTTCTGTTAGAGTTTGGTATTTGTGTGTGCGGAACGACACTTCCACGTAAGAGGCAGCTTGTTTACCAAGGATTGATCTTGTTAGATGACTTAATTAACCCCACCCCTATCCCTTCCATTTCATGACTTCCCAAAAAATAATCTTGACATTTAGGGAATTTTAAAAAAATTGTTTTTTAATTTTTAATATTTTTAATAAAATCAAGTTGGTTTCTAATAATGATTTGGCACCGATTGTTGGCGAGTTGCATCTCAATTAGTATAGTGTCTGTGTTTTCTTGCAAGAAATATTGGATATTGAGTTCGTTTTTTTTTCTTTTTCTTTTTTTTTTTGTAATCTAATAAAAAAAATAATGGAAAAAAAAACCTTTTTTAAATCCGTATTTTGATGCAACATTTAAAAAAAAAACTTTTTAAATCTGTATTTTAATGCAAGAATCTAGAAAAAAAAACTTTGAGAACCTATAGCTCAATTAGTATTAGTATTCATTAAAAAAATAGATTTAGTATGCATATATACCATTTTAAAAAATCTATCTTCATGTTTATTTTGATGCAAGAGATATCGGACATAGAGTTCGAACTTTTTCTGCATAATCCAAAAATATATATATATATATATATATATTCTATATAAATTTTTATTTTGATGCAAGCATTAAAAGAAGCTTTAGCAAACTATAGCTCCTTACCAGAGCTATATCCACACCGACTTCCATCCTTATTTGTGTAATCCAAAAAGCAAAACCTTTCTCAGTCTGTATTTTGATATAAATATCCAGAGGAATTACTCCTCCCAAAGCACCAACTAAATATAAAAGGTATGTGTTTAAGATTTTTGGGTCATCACCTACAGCCAATTTTTGTAAATTCAGGAACCATTTCTCTCCCTAAGGAATACCAGAATTAGGGAATTCATTTGACATTGCTAACTAAGCTTTGATCGCAAACCAGCAAAGAGTACATGCCACAACATTGTAACATTTCAATGCCTGGTCCGAAAGACAAAAACAATACTCAACATCATAGTTAGAAAGAAGACATCTTAAAGGTTAACTACGATGTCCATTTTATTGATCAAACTTCGAAAACGGATTCTAAAGTTCTGGAAGTTTGTGTTTCAATTGGACAAGGTTTTTTTTTCTCAATCTAAGTACAACGCCAGCTCTCTGAGAGAGGTCAATTTTATCTCTAGGGGAAAATTCCGAATCTCCGTTATGGTTTATTCAGTTGCCTTGCCTTTGCGTCTGCTGCTGCTGCTAGTTTCCAAGAGGTAACAAACCATTGAATCCACATCATCACCAAATATTCTGTGGGCCTCGATCACTTGCAGGTAGCAGAATCCCATTGACAGTACCATCTGCACACTACTGCTAAGGACAGTACCTTCTGCCTTGGTCGTCTCACTGCCTGATGATCCTGCTTATCCAAGTTCATATCATAGTCAGTAACACGGCATTCGAGGATAATTCACCCTTAAAGAAGGTAGCAAAAAATAAGTGACAGTCTCTACACTTCTCATAGACCAATAAGCATATAAAGTAACCTTGAGAAAATAATGATGATAACGACAACCAGAGGTGCACCCTACGTTGGTCCCCACAGTTTCATAAGTTCACAAATCATTTGCATGTTCGAACTGAGATCCCATCCCGTGTAAGATCTGAGTACTTACTAGCGCCAGAAGATGATGGTTCTGCACCAGAGGTAGAAGATTCTTTACGACCAAGTTGTGGTTTGAACTTGTCATCGGCAAGATACTCGGCTCTAGAAGCTTCCATCACCATGCGTTCAATCTCCTTCTCGGTAAGCTCAAGATCAGAGTAAAACCGCCCCTCAGCCAAAAGTGCCTGTCAATATTAAGTAACAAAAAAGAAGAGTTTAGTTAATGACCCAGTAAGCCAAATATTAACATACAACATACAGCAGAACTACATGAAGGATACTTGCATTATCAATCTGCTGGTCTTGTTGAGCTTTAATAGCAGCTTTGACCTGATCTCTGTCCACATTTGCCTGCAAACACAATTGTTGCCAGTGTCAGCAACATCAATCCCTTTGACTATGCTAGCCTGCTATCAATAGAAGCAAGAAGAGCAATCCTACGACCAGCAAGTCCAGCAATCAGCATGTTCATATTGCAGCTATAAATGCAAATTCATAGGTACTGGATCATTACCTCCTAACCTCCTCAACCAGAAAATTGAAGGAAAATGTAGTGAGGGGAGAAACAAGATGCTGCTCACATTAAGTAAAAATTTTCCATAAACTAGCGACCTAGCAACCCCTATATTTTCACAAGTATGGACCCTGCCAAAACTTTACCATCTTTTACATTAACTTTTATTTTTGATCCTTTACCTTAATCACATATCTTGAACATTTGATTGCAGGCAGGATAATCTTATATTCAACAAATCATGAACCATTGAGAAAAGGCTAATATTACTATTTGAGTGATCACACATAATCACTGAGGAAGAAATATCATTTAACCATGACAAAAAAGGTACAGAAGTCACAGAAACGAACCCCTTGAAGACAGCCGAAACCAAGTCCTGCACCAATTGTTGAACGCCGTGGGTTGACAAGAGAGTTGTAGTGGTTACCATGATGATAGCTTAGCCGAATGGGCGGTGTTTCAGTATTGTAGCTCCCATGAAATATGTTGATAGGTTCTACATTAACAATTTTGGTCAGGAAGAAGTAAACAGCAAATGGCTCTGCATAATTTAAACCATTAATTCATCTCAAGTAGATACCTGTGCTATAAGAGTAGATGTGGATTGGTCGATTGTACATTTCTGATAAAGCTTGAATCTCCACATTGTTTCCATAAACCTGACAATTGAGAAGGAAGTGAATATTCAAATCCCTCATTCACATTAAAAAGTCAAGTGCATGAGTGGTTCTTAAACATGCTGGACCACATCACATGTCTACTTGCCTACCTACCAAAGCCCCAAAAACATTTAACACCAACAAAAGGGTGACAGCAAACAATAGAAGCAGGGTCAAAAAAAGTGATGGAATTAAATATTTGTTAACATTCACACAATCAAGGACAGAACAAAAGCCTCCATGTCGAAAAATTTGCCAAACAAATTCACAGACAGGTCCTTAATTTGCAAACGTGGAAGTTGAGATGCTTTGAATAATTCTTCCTCCATAGAACATTTTCTCAATTTTCCATTACCCACTTTTATACTTCCACAAGACTAACAGCATTAACCTCGAAGAGGTATATTTCCACAGGACTAACAGCAACAATAAACTAGAAGTGGTAACATATAAGAGCAGTCATAAAAATCCTCAAATCAAATTTTACATTATCCTGATGCAATGTAAATTCACTTTCTTTCTCGAGAGGAGATTACAAATATAATTAATGTGAGGATCATATATCCAAGGGTGATAAATTATAAGAAAATATGTCGTGTGTCATATGCATTTGCCTTATTGGATACTAAAGAAGTGAAAAACAAACTTAGATTCAATATCAATACCTTGTCTCTTCTCTTCCTCTTGCAGTAAGATGTAAAACCTTCAGTTATGAATTGAGAAAAGTGATCCCTTTCCCTTTCCTGAATGAACCAAAAACAAAAATACAGCTTTGTCAGTGGTGCTATTCACAATTTCCTTACTTAACTGTGAAACTTAACACTATTCCCTCAAACTGTCCTGAAATAACATCGCAAACATAAAATCAACATTATACTGTCTTCCTCAATTTCTGTTTATTATTTTTTAACTTCTTACCTATTCTCTCAAATTGTTTGGGAATTCATCCCAGCGAAACTATTTAACACAAACTATGAAATGGCATAGCAACAATCATGAATCAAACTCTATTTCATCATTATCAATTAAATACGCATCATAAAACTAAAATATAAAACAATTAATGAACAAGACTAGTAGCTAGTACTATGGAGCGTCTTTTCACATGGCTACCTTAGATGTTCCCAAATGAATAAGAATTCATGACACTTTAACCAAATGCTTCATTCAAATAGATGTCATACCACAAAAAAATGACCATGAACTTGAACAGTGTACAATAAAAAAAATTAAAATATATAATAAAATTACCATATAGTCTATGCACAGTTGTCTGACCAAATCATACATTTCAGAATCCCCATAAACCTGATCTGCCACAGCACGAAAGAGACAATTCCCATCCTCCAACATTTTTTTGACTTCAAATCCTTTGGACCTTCTGAGGTCAATCTCAAACTGTCGCTCTCTTTCCTGCAATAAATGCAAAATGCCAATTTTAGAGAAATATATGCAATTGAATCGTTAAGATGCTAAATCATATCATTAGCCGACAACAAAAAGGCAACGCTACAAGCCCTATTGTGCTAAGCATTAGAAAAAAGAGAATCACAAGATCAGTGACAACAAATATTTTCCCCAATACACAGTAGTCCATTGGCCCAGAAGAAACAAAAGGTCAATCAAACTAAGCCAAGGAACATTAATCAACTAGAGATCAAGCCACAACTACAAGTCTTAACTCCACCAAACAAAATTTAAAATATTAGTGCTAGAAACATGTGAAGCAACACGATATGACCACAAACAGCTGCATCAAAAGGACTTATTTTTGAGCTAGACAACTTAATCCAGAAATTGCAACAGTCAAGACATGTCCGACGAACTATATATTTAGCACTGGAAACTTACAAGATCATCATAGGAGGAAACGAAGCAAGGATTCTGCTCATCAGCACTGTTGTACCCCTCATTTTCACCATGAGACCTAGGAGAGGATGGCCGTGATCCAGTTGGTGAAGACCTAGTTGAAACAGCAGGCCAAGCAACAGCTCTCCTAGACGAACCAATTCGCACAGAATTCGAAGCTCCCGACACAAATCTCCTTGAACTTGAGTTTGTTAAGGCAGGTTTTGGAGGTGGCACAGGAGGAGGAGGTGGCTGTGGGCTTCCACTACCAACCTCTGGAGAATCAGCACTTGAGCCTTCACTCTCTACCGGGGATCTCTCCAAAATCAATCCACTCAAAGCTTTAACCGAATCCCCTGAGCCCACTCCTTCATCATTACCCACTTTCTCGTTATCAACAATTTCATCATTGAAACTCTCATTTCGGTTACCATTTATGTTTTCCATCAAAAGCTCATCACTTTTTACCACTTTATTATCATTAATACCACTGTTCTCCAAGAATTCATCAACCACCACCTGCTCTTGCACCTCCTCACCAATCTCCTCATCTTTCACAATTGAAACTGCCTGAGGGATGCTAGTACCTTGTGTATCTGGCCGAGCAGCCGAAGAAGAAGACCCTGCACGGCTCTGGTTTGAAGAAGAACCACTGCCTCGCTGAACTAAAATCCGAGTCATCGCGCTTCAATCTTTATTGTCCTCAAGTACTTAACACCGACCACCAACTCTTCCTCCCAAAGGACCAAAACTTAAAGATTCATTGGTTTGTCACGCGTTCTTGCTTTAGGCGCAGTAATGCCAATTCCTTGGCTGAAGGAATTCTTCCAGCCCAGTGCGTTCAGCTCCTTATTGTCGCAGCAAAAGGATTTCTGCATTCCCCTAACAATTCTCATGAGACCCAGACCTCCAACTTTAAACAATAATAATCTTCTCTAAGTAGTCGAATTTTACCAGGAAAAAGAAATCCCACGATTCAACTTGATAAGCTGAAGCTGCAATCAACAAACAAAATATCGAATCAAATAATAAAAATCACTGCTTTCTTTCTTTCAATCTTTCTTTAAAACGTAACTTCTCTAGCACTTTAAGTCTAAAACCCTTTAAACCTTATGTGATTTCCATTTAAAGATGGTAATTTTAAGTGAATCATTTATAACTGAACAAGGTAATCAAATTATCATCAATTAAAGTTTGTTCCTTCACAACACACCAGTAGCAAACCCTTCAAACACTCAGTTAAATTCCCACAAAAAAAAAGAGGAAATTCAACAAAATTGCAAAATCCAAAGTTAAAATCCTTCATTATCAACCCAAAGACACTTCTTTTAATCAACTAACTACACTAATTGACTTAGATTATCCAATCAGAACCAAAGACAACAAAATTTTTCCTTTCATTACTTCCATTTTCCCATCATTTCTCAGCAACCAAGCAAAGAACTCATAATCAAATCAAGAAACACGATCAAAGATCAATAAAATCACCAACACAGAAAACCCTAGAGTTGACTCGGGACGAGTTACAACAAGAAGACTCACCTTACAGAGAGAAAGACGACTAAAAAATTGACAAAAGCAAAATTGTTGAGATCTGTAAAAGCAAAACAGAGAGAGCAATAGAATTTTTCTTATTAGGGTTTTATTTTTTATTTTTAAAGAACCAAACGATGATAAAGCAAACAACTTGGTGGAGAAGAAGAAGGAGAAAAGCAAAGAGAGAAAGGTAAAGGCAGAGAGAGACACTATTTATTTTACCGGTGGATGGAAAGAGAGAAGACCGAGGTGGTGACGTGGAGTCTTCTGGAGCGATGATGGTACTACAAGTGGCTTATTTTAGCACGTTAGTTTCGCACGTGCGTACGGGGAAAGTGAAATGATTAAGGGTAAATTTCTAAAAAGTCTCTCAAAAATGGACCTTGTCTTGCTTGAGTATCTAAAGGTTTCTTAGTCTCAATTGAACCCCCAAGATTATTTAAAAAAACCTCATTTATGTTTTTGTTTGAGATTTCCACAATCTTTTGGCAAAAAAGTTAAATTTTCAATAAAAAAATATTATTTTATAAAATCACATACAATAATAAAAAAACCCATGAACTAATTTGAAATTTTAATTAATATTTAAACTAATGCATAGAATGACAAGGTAAGGAATAACAATGTTGAAGAGATAGAATATGTGATAATATTATAATTTAGAATGTTTATTAAATAAACTTTTAAAGAATATAACTTTTATCATGTTTTTCTTGTATTCTCCGAGAAAAAACTTTATAAAAATTTGGTATTTTTATCTTTAAAACAAAGATAAAATTATACTTGTCTCTATTTCTACAAATCAAATAAGTTTTATTATTGTTCTATACATGCTCCAGTATTTTGTCCACAAATGCAAATGTTATACTAGGAATCTAAATTGAGATAATTACATAAAAAATTGTTTAGGGACTCATTCGAGATTCCATAATAATTGGGGGACCTTTCTGGGTTTGCCAAATTATTAAAGCAACAGAAGAAGCTGAGAAGTGATGGGATGATCGACGTACAAGCTAGTGTGTTGTCAAGTTTTTGCTCTTTTAGGTGTCAGAATCGAGAGAGAGAGGAGACTCAAAAACTGAGCGATATTCCTTGCTTGCCTCAGGCAATGGCAAAAGGTTGGAATTGCATTGTCAGCCTTTATGACCTCCATAACGCTCGTTTAGATAATCAATCCCCATGTTGTACATAAATTTTCTCTTTAATCCCTAAACTTCTTTTTTATTTAATTAAACGGTTGAGTTTCATTATTTTTGTTAGGTTATTGGATATCTAATATCATTTTAAATTTAACAATTGAGATTTAATTTCATTTAAAAAACTTTAACTTTACAACAGATGGCTCTTTCTATATCTATTACATTATTTTATATTTTTTGTATTTATTCAATATGAGACATATTCGTTTTTATTTATTTGTAATCTATTTTTTTGGATTTATTAAATAGTTTAGATTTCGTATTTTTTATTTAGCTGTAGGAAATGATGTTTTATTGATATCATGTGGATAATCAGATTAAATTACATACAATTGACACAAACTGCTCATGTCATGTGGATAATCAGATTAAATTACACACAACTGTCTTGCATTATAGAAATGCAAGGAGACAGGAGAAAAGAAATTACATTAACTTCTTCCTCTTGCTTTCTTTCTTTTTGACGTGCTATGAAACAGCAAAATAAGACCCTTGACAATATACACAATGACATTCAAGTCCCTTACGATAGACGATCACTTCATTTTTCGAAGAGCAAAAGCAGACAACACAACCAGAGACAGGAGCAAGGTTGATGTTATGAAGGAAGCCACCACAGCACTGCTAACCTGCTGACAGAAATCATTAAACTGTTGACAAAAAGGATTCCAGTTCGTGCTTGAATTTCCGTTGTGAGCTAAGTACACAATGGCAGCAGTAGCAGAAGCAGCTGATATTGTTAGCCCCATCACCACCTGCATGCATGCGTTATTTTTAACAACATTTTTCCAAGCAAGAGTTCTGATGTTAATAATGGTGGCTTGATGAACTCACAGAATCAAGGATGATAAGGAGGAGCCTTGGTCCTGCTGCATGAGGCCGAACGATGCAGACTATAGAGAAGGGCAAGGAGAGAACAAGGTATCCACTGGCTATTGCATTAGCAATCATGAAAAACCTGCACATGGACACAATATTCCACTCTAATTTATAGTGCCTTAAAGTCAGCTTGTTCAGAATTTAATTAGGTTTGGCTATTTAAAGCAAGCACTTATAGCTTTTGTTAGAAGTAAGATAAGTATGCATACAGGAACGTTGGAACATCATTAAACTCAGCGTGGAACTGAAAGAACTGAGTGAAAAAGGGAAGAGTCTGATCTGTAGTCCCCATAAGGCTAGTGGCAGCAAAACCAGCTGCAATGGCAGACAGTCTCAGAACCAAGTCGAAAATGGCCACACCTTTTTTCCATCCTTTTCGTGGGTGTTGGGCAGCTTTTGTTGCCACTATGACGGGAGCAGAAGCACCAGAAGTGCCTTTTCCTTTAGTGTCAGTCTTTGGTTCTTGAATAGTGATTTTTGTTACTTCACCGCTTTTGTCTGTGTCCATTGCCAAATGTAGTGATCAGGTGAGAGAGGGCGAGCTTAATTGGTATGTGAAATGCCATGAAGAAATGTGATTTATATAGGACATGTTAGAGATTGAAGTTAATGGGTTAGTTCTGTAATAGGAATTAGGTGTTTGCACAACGTTAGCGAGGAGTGGTTGGCACAATCTAACTTGCTCCACTTCATACAAAGAAAAAAACGAATTGGACGAATAGAAGAAGGCAATTAGGGTTATAAAGATGGAGTCATCAATGTTCTAACTAACGATTTTTTAAGAAACATGTACTTTTTAGATCATCACTTCTAAGAGTGAACGTTTGCTTGCACTATCCTCTTTTATTAAATTGGTGGATCGATTAGGGTTCTCTCTACTCAACAGGAGTGATGGTGACATGGTAAATACTTGTCTTATTTATTTCTAAGAGACAGCCTAGAGGTCTCGACTCTCAAGGATTTAGAAATGAGGAAAAGCTATCGTCATTTCTAAAATTCAAAACTCGAGAGGCTTCCTGACGGAAAAAAAATCTATTTTCATTTTAAAGCTGAAAGATTCCTGTCTGTCTGAGAAAGATTTGCTTCTCTCCGATGGGCCTTAAAAAAATGACAAAAAACTACCCTCGTTGTGTAATTCATAACCGAACAAGGCTCCTATGAAAAATAAATAAATAAATCTAGTTTCATTCTAAAGATGAAAGATTTTCCTGTGTCTGAGAAAGATTGCTTCTCTCCGATGGACCTTCCGATTGGATCCAGCAGTTCAATGTTTGATGATCTGTTTTTCCTAACGACCAAGCTGCTAGGGCACTGAAAAATAGATCTGTTTTTTTTTGACCAACAATCACACTCTCGAGCCCTTAAAAGGACAGATCTGAACCCTGCCTTTGAACCCTTGAAAAAATTGAAGAATCACACGCACACGGGGTTGGCAAGCTAAATTGAAAGAATAATGAACAAAACTAGATTCAAAAACATCCAGTTGTAACATCTTCGTCGAATTTCATCTTATTAAGTTGCCTTTCGTCGGTGTATCGAATCAATATTCGAGATACATGTTCAAGGGTAAAAAAAAGAAGAAGAAGAAGAGAAACTGAATACAGCAGAAAATTTATTTTCACAACGAAAAAACAAGTGACAAACGCAAAGGACTTTCAATAATGCTGCACAAAAGGAGAAAAGGATTGCCTTGAACTCTTCCTATATTACAAGCCGCACTAGTTTGGGTTCACCATTATTTTACATGTATATCTCAAAACCTCGATAGGGCAAAAAGAATTGATTTTTAACATCTATCAATATGCTTGCAGTTGGAATTCCTAAACGTGCTATCAAACAAACCTAATTTCCTGACTTCCCTTTCCAAACAGAAACATGTTTCAAGAATAAGTTAATAAGAATTATAAACAAAGAGTTATGGCCGCACTCTCAATCCTCTTTCAGCAAGCACTTCATGAACTCGACGAGCAACTTCAGCAGTGTCATTCAAAGGAGGATAGCTCCAGCTTTCCGAAATCTGGAAGAGAGAGACAAACAGATTACCCACATAATCAAGGGAAAAAGAAACTTGATCACTCCATCTACCTATTGAGATATAGATGGGAATTCAGTTTGCCAATTCTTCATTGCATAAAGGGAATGACAATTTCCAGGCAAAAGAAGAAAAAAACAGAACAAGTTCCCAGGACAGCCATTAGAAAACCTATCAACTAAAGTAGATGAGAAACAAGCACTTCCATAGTTGCCTGGCAATATATAACCATTCCCATTTAGCTTTAGTTATTTTGACAAGTATTATCATAATTCTCTAGAGTATACTTTTGAACTTATTCCGGATAGGAAGTAATAAAAGAAGTTGCTTTTAAATAATTGAAAAAGCAAAGTTTAACACAGCTAATATGGGACTAGGGGAGCACTTAAAGTACACCGTACCAGGCAATTGTACATGTAATCAATCAAATGGGAGAAGACACTTGTCAAATAGGTAAATGATCTCATGGTATTTAGAGGCATCAAAACAATGGCATGAAAGAGAAAAGTATTCTACTGTTTACTTACATCCTCGGATCCTGTAAATGGTCGAACCACTCCTCGCTCCCTCAAAGATTTATGGAAGTCAGCCAACTTCCATGTGCAACGCTCAGATCCCATCACGTAAACAGGTTTCCTGCAAGATCAGTATAGGAACTAAAATCAGCATTTGCAAAATAAAATAGGGTATCTCAGAACTTTTATAGGGTCTAAATCATTTCAAAGATGATAGAAATAATTTTTCCTGCATACCCAGTACTGCAAGCCTCGCTTATCATACTGACTGAATCTGCTGTGACAACAAATGCATCTGCCCAAGCTAAATGTCCCATATACGGATTTGGCTCTGAATGTTATGACATACAAAGCTTATAAGAAAGTGACCACTAGTAATTTAACTAGTAAGAAGTTTTCACATCAAGCAACAATACCTTCACCATCCCAGATGTAAACTTTTGGATTATTTGCAAGTTCTTTGATTATTATGTTTGAAACCTGTCAGTAGAATTACAAACACATATATTGAGTAATGGGCAGCAGGTATTGAAAAAATAAACTATGAGAAATGAGTGGCTATACCTTCTCAGGTGTCCTACTTGAGAAAGATATTCTGACACTCCCACAGCTCACAAGGACGTTAGTCAAAAGGGCAGATAACTGCTTTGCGAGGTCAGTTCCATAACGACAGCGACCTAAAGAATTTTGGGTATCATATCATATAATCACATCTTAAATACTAGCTCCATGAAAAACAGCAAGAACTAAATGAACAAAGAACCCTGAATTTAAATAATCATAAACCCAAACAGAGCAGAACAAAAGTAATAATCAAACCTGTTTTTTCACCTATTAATTCTTTATTTGGGATACAAATTCTTTCAAGTATGACAATGGTTTATCTTAAATTTTCATTTATTGCTATGCTAACATGAAAGAGGATAAGAAAATTGCATTTTCTTCAAGAAATTAAATAAAACTGATGTTAATAAGATATACAATGGAATTATACAAGGAATGACATGTTTTCATTTTTGGCACATGGCAAAGCCAAGTTTAGTTTTGGTATTTGAGCTAATTTTAAGAGTCCGTACAATGTAACAACAACAACAACAATAATCAACTTTGGCTCTCATAACAATTTCATCATTTGATTTTGAGGATCAATCTATGGTTTAGTTGAAAAGAGGAACTCTTTTTTCCTCTTTTCCAGCAGACAATCAAGATTAGGACCTCCCCCTCCCTCTGGTTCGATCCTTCAACATAAAACAAAAATGAACACATGCAGTAGGTACTACGAAGGCAATACATAAACCTATGAGATTAATAAAACACAAAATAATGCACAGACCATTATATCAAGGAAAGGAAGACAATGGAAGTGAACTGACAATTTGCAGTAAAACTGTCAAATCACATAAAAGTACAATGGATCAATAGTATAATAGATAATTACATGTAGGCCCTCCAATATTAACCACCAGTAAAGGCTTTGGCAAAGGTGCAAACTCATCATGCCATGTACTAGCTGCACTGCGCAGTGCAGCAAAATCAACTTGATGTAAGGCTCCCAGAGTAAGAACCTGAACTTCAATGGTCATGTTATAAACCATCTTCAACAAGAATTATCAGCAAAAAAAGTTTCATTCCAATGTTCTTATACATACCACATGCTGGTCCGGAGGTTCACGTGGAGTTATCCACTTCCGAAGAAAACGGGGAACTTGTTCCTGTGCTTGAGGAGTCAAAGCATAATAATCATGATGAGGTGCGACCACCAAGTCAAACCTACTCAAGTCTGACCTTGGATGTTGTATCTGCACGAAGGGAAAAAAAAAAAAGAATATCAGAAGCTTAAAGGCAGCAACAGAAAGAGGATCTAGTTGAAGTGCTAAGGCAGCTTTGGAAGCTGAAGCTGCCACGGTATAATAGGCTAACGTAAGAACATGCTAGCCCTTATTTATACAATGTTGTATTCATCCATCAGATACTATTAGAAACAGGTTACAAACTTGATCCTCCTTGATATATTCCTCAGATAGCCATCATAGAGCCGTGTTTATCTATAGATTGTAGCAAATGGCCTTATCAAAAGCAATTTAAATTAAGGGAAGGCCTCAAACCTGAACAAGAAAAACTTTTTCTGATGCTAAACGTTTTATAGAGCTTGCAATAGATATAGTATCTCTGCCGGATGCAACTACCAATAAAGGGCCATCCCTGAAAAAATGTAGCAAAACAAATTAATTGAAAGAAACAAGGGTAAATCTATCATCTGTTTAGGGAGAGGAAATAAGAAGGGCAAAATGGAAAAATGGATCCATATAGTAGCAAATACCAACTAGATTGGAACCAAAACATAGTTGAGTTAAGTAATAGGTATCAAATCTAACACAGATCCACAAGGCAACAGTGACGCACAAAACTAAATGCAGACAAGAATTGAAGATGAACAAAAAATTAGAGGCAATATTAGGATTGAGATATAGGTCAATCAATTCTTTTCAAAAAAATTAAGAGAAAATCCATCAGGAGTCTACATTTGTAATATTAAAGCACCATCAGTCATTCATAACACAACCTTTTCATTTCCATATGAGCAAATGATCTTTACAATTTATCAATCACAAATATCATTTTATTTTCCCTTTCATGAGAGTTGGGAAGCAAGCAAGGGTGCTATCTATTGATCATTACAACATACTCATGTTCAATACCAAGAAGTAATAGCTTACAAGAACTGTACTTTCTACTGTGCATTTTGTTCTAATAAAACAGGTAAAATTCCCTTGAAAATATATCTACTTTCGAGACTTTTAGCAAGCTAACAAACTCAAATTAAACAAAAGTTTGAAAGAAAATTACTTCTCATAACTTTCTCGAGCCATATTCACAATCTGCTTCGAATCAGCTTCTAAAATCGACGACAAGCCTACACTGCCACCATTTTCCGAGGGCAGAGGCGCAAGTTTATTCCCTCGTGAAACTATAAACCGCGAATAACTATATATCCGCCTTACGATGTAGTATAAAATTTTGTGGAGAGAAACCGGAAGCCAATGGAGCCACTCATTTATTCCTCCTCTTGGTCTCTTCACTCTCTGCATCAAACTTCCATCAGAAATAAATACTCGAAAAATTAAGCTAAATATAGAAAACTAATCGCTAACTTGAGATAATAAAAATTTCAGCAAAAATAAAGTTGAATTAATAAAGAGAAAAAACATAGATTTTTAAGTGATTCATGGAGTTGAAAAGGAGAGAAATGAACTGACGAATAAGACATGCTTATCGGAGAGCCCAAGAGCGCGAACTAAACCGAGGCTCTGGTTTTCTGAACCGGGAAATCCGTTGCCGATAACAACGGCGCGGCGTATGACGCTGTATGCGCCGTTTTCGAAGATCTCCGGTACTCCCATGGTGGGACTCGGCGGTTCCGGCAGCCGTATTGGCCTCATGTATTGATTATTTCACGATTACAGATTCTAAACCGTTATTATTCGTTAACTGTAAAATTCAATAGCATGAGGTCTTTTATCCGATGGAATTGAGAGAGAGAGAGAGAGAGAGAGGGGAGCAACTGGCTAAGAACGGACAGGTAGTTTCTCTTTCTCTACTGACATTTGCTGGACTGCAAAGTTTGATTTTGCTTTCCTTTTCTCTTTGGGCCAAAAGAATTGAAGCCCATAAGTATAAAGCCCAACTGTATGGCTTACATCAAAATGGATATTATAAATAGCCCAACTTTAAAAATTACGAGATGGGGGTCCATAATAATATCGCATCCATGCAGGAAGTGTTAGTGGATGCATAGCGAAATTTTATGTGGGCTGATAACAAATAACAAAGGGTGTAGTGGGCTGATAAGGGCCTCATTAAACTTATGTGGGCCAACGGAAGGCTCAGAAACAATAGATTACTGTCGTTGTTGTCGCTGTCCTCATCATCGTCTAAAATCTAAATGCAGAGAGAAAAGAGGGATCTTGCAACAGCGAAGCGAGAGACCTGAACAACGAAGCACAAGAAGAAGTTTCATCGTCAAATTCCCAAGTAAGATCTGGTGCCGGTGTCGGTTCCGGTTCCGGTACGGATATCGATACCGTTTCCATTTCTTTTTTAAACTTTTTATTCTTCATTATAAGTGTAAATTTGTTTTTTAGCAGAAAGAAATCTCGAGATCGAATAAAGAGAGAGATGGGGTTTCTGGTAACAACACTGATTTTCGTAGTGGTTGGAATAATTGCTTCGCTTTGTACCAGAATTTGCTGCAACAGAGGACCCTCCACTAATTTGTATGCTTCCTTTTCTTTTTTACTTCAATTTTCTCTCTTTATTTATTTTTAATGATAGATTGGATTAAACCACAATCCAATGAGTAATTTTAATGGTCAGATTTTTGTGTTTGTCTGATTTTTTTTAACTAGGCAATAAAGAAGATTATGTGTATGCATTAAGTTTTCAGATTTAATTAAGTGAATATAGCCTCCTCTCTAGTTGTTTTTCTTCATATGCAATATGGGAAGTTTTTCAGATTTAATTAAGTGAATATAGCCTCATCTCTAGTTGTGTTTCTTCTTATGCAATATGTTTATTCTTGCGTTTTTGTTGCAGGCTCCACCTAACATTGGTTTTGACAGCAACAGTCTGCTGTTGGTTAATGTAAGTTTGTATTCGCTTGCATTTTTCTCTTCTTCTATAATTGTTTGGATTTTCTATGTAAAAGGAATTTCATTTATGAGCATCTTTATCCTGGATATGTGGTTAGTGTTCAAGCTGCTTGCTTGAATCCATAAATTTAGAAGAGTGTTTATACAATAATGGTATTTCATGAAGATGTTGCAAACTATCGCCGTTAGTCAATATTATTGAGTACTTGTTTATGCCCTTTCTATTAAATTTTTCCTTTAGGTTGACTGTAGATCTGCCTGTGATTTTCATCCTCATCAGTAGCTGCTCAGAAAATTATTCATTTTTTATCCATTATGTAGTTTAGGGTAAACTGAAACTGTTAAATTTACAAATTTGAGTTTCTTCTCTTTAAATATGTTTCCTTCTCATTGAGCTTAGAATGAGTTGGGAAAGCTCTATTTTCCAACTTTGAGGGTTCTGCTCCTTTACCATTGCAGCAACAATTAGCCTGACAGTAACAGAACCCCACATCATGTTGGAGGAGGAACTGCTATCAATATCATTTTACCATAAGGAAACAATCATCCCTTTTGTTTTTTTAGTGATACGAACAAAGACTCCCTAATACCATGGCATGCTCATAAATGGCAAGAGTTATGATTTACATGATTTTTTAGGGAGCAATTGTTGAGGAACATGTTCATGTAGATGAATTACACCTTCAAAGCATGCCTAAGTTTACCAAATTATAATTGTTACCCCTTCTTTTCTTTTTTTGTTTGCTTTGTTAGTTGAATAATATTTGCACCCTTGTCCTTCATGAAAGCATGATGTTCATGATTTTGTCAGTGTAGTGAAAGCATAAATAAGCTATCAGATTCCCCCCCCCCTCCCAACCATAGTTGGAAACCTGTTCGTTCTATTTTCTTTTAGGTTCATTTTTGTTGAGATCTGCATGCAGTTGTTTCCTGTCACACTTACTGTACTTTTTCTCTTGGTGTATGTTAGGTGGGCCATTGTGTATTTAGCACAGATGAAACCTCTCATAGTCCCAATATTAAGTGAAGACGAGTGAGGTTGTTCCCCAAGGAGCACATTGTACCTTATTGGTAAAAAAGCATTGGTTGCTACAAAATATCTGATTTTATGCCTCATGAATCTTCGTGTATCTTCTCATTTTGAGTCTCTGTAGTTTTATCGGTGTGAACTTCGAATTGGTTTTTATTTGTTGCGGTTTTTTTTAGCTGCTTGGTTACCTCATTCAATTCAAAACACTTCAGCAGTCATTCTATAAGACCTGCGCACAAATATGTAATTTGGATGAAATAATTGTTGCAAAAGAATATACTTGATGTTACTATGGAAAATGATATTTTGATGTCGTTGCCCGTTTGTACCTTTCAGCTATCTTGTGCGCCAGCTTGAGAGTGTTTTCTAACCAGCTCATATTCAATGCCCAGGCCATGGCCTGGCAGTTCCTACATAATATATTTTGATATTCTGACATTTTTATCACCGCACATCAATATATTGATTGTCGCGTCAAAAGATTTATCAGCATAAATTTGTTTGTCAATGTATCCCTTACTGATCCAGATGGTGCAAAATCCGAGAGAAAGTACATGGATCGAGTGAAATTTCAAACATTTTTGTATTTGGTCATGAAGGAAATTCTTAGAAAGGGAAAGCAAGAAAAAAAATTGGAATATGGAATGCAGAGTTGTAGGGATGACTTATACTTTGCTCAAGCTGCGGTAATTTCTAAAGGCTTGCCTACCTAGTGGATTTCAAAATCTAAGACATATTCAAGCAACTAAAAATAAATTCCAGCTATACCACAAGACACCAAATTTACATAGCAAGAGATGAGAAATGTAATCAAGAATCATTTTCCTTTTGGTTATATAATCATTTTATTCAATAACGTGACATTTGATCCATATCTGTTGCAACTTTCTTTCCTTAGATGGTTTCAAGTGCCAAATTCCCCACCATTTTGGCTAGAGGCACAGGACACTTCGTTACAATATCAAATCTGGATGGATTTGAGGCATTGCCAAATAAAGATAAGCTTAAGAAAAGAAGTTCCCTGAGAGATAACCTTGAGGAGAGGAACCCTTGCCAGTAATAAGGATCTAAATCAAAGAAAGCATCAAAGAACCTCCTAGTTCCATCCAGATCAAGCTTCAACAAAGTCTCCATCCCAAAAGAATAAAATTCCCTTGTACACCGCCTCTGTAATGGCCACAAGCCATTCCACACTCTATGATGAAGTGGCCTGCCTCTAATCATTCTGGTTGAGCCAAGACACTCTGCAATGGCATCAGCTACAATTGGGGCTAGAGCCATTGTTCTAGCCACCATGTACCCAGTTGAGGGATGGACTACCCCTGAAGTCCCACCAATAGCCATCACACTTTGAGGGATTGTTGGGAGAGGTCCTCCCATTGGAATCAAGCATTTCTCTTTCTCTATTACTTTCTTCACTCTGATTCCCAAATGTCTTAATCTTGCTACCATCCTGTTCTTAACCTCTGTGTATGGCAACAAAGGCCTACTAACCAGGGAAGTCTCTTCCAAAAATACCAAGTTTGAATCAAATGGCATTGCATAGAGAAAGGTTGGAGTTTTTGAATTATTAGCACGCAAGTAAGGTTCATTTCCCAGATGGGAATCTCTCCAATCCATAAGAACCATTTTATCCAAATCAAATGGATGACAATCCACTTCGGCTAAAATGCCGTGAGCAATCTGATATCCATAGTTTCTTGGCTTATCATACTCAGTAAAACTACTAGCAAAACCACTTGCATCAACAACTAAGCTAGCTTTTAGCTCAGTCCCATCATCACAAACAACCGAAGACTCGAACTCCTCATGCTTCACATTCCAAACCTTAGCCTTATGAAACCTAACCCCATTACAAACACAATTTTCCAACAATTTTGTCTTCAATTTTTCCCTACTAACACGACCATAAGGACGGTCTAGATGCTTGGGCTTGTCATCGTCAATATAGACAGAAGCCATAGGCCACGTTTTGTCCAAACAATCAAGAAACCCCAAGCTCTCAAACTCATCAACCCAAACACCATAGTTATTAGGCCACATAGAAAGTGGTGAAGGATCAACACAGCATACCTTGATTCCATATCGGGACACTTGCTCGGCGAGACGCAAACCAGCCGGGCCAGACCCAATAATGATCACGTCAAAGCGACGAGACTTGTCAGCAGGATGAAACCATGAGAGATCAAAATCCAAGAACTCGGGCTCTGATTCGGGTTTCAAGTCCAGAAAGCTTCCAAACTTGCTGCTTTGGATTCTATGGTGGGATTTTCTTGAAGGTGTGATACGGGGTTTTGGACAACCGAATAGAGGAGTAAGTTTATGGTTTAGCTGAGAAGTTTTTGCCGCGGGAGCTGAAGGAAATAGCCTGAGACAAGTTGCCATATGTAACATAGAGAAAGAGAGAGATGGGAAGCGGTTGTGTTACAAAAAGAGAGAAGATCAATAAGAAATAAATTGGGAGATGGCGTCAGATACGGACAGGGAGGAATCTCTGAGTGAATGTAAGAAAGAGATACTCTAACAACATTACCTACTTTTGTCGCAGGTCATTTCCCCATCAACCCACCCTACTTTTCAAGCCCATGAACAAGGCATGGTTGTTTCCGGTGGTTTTTATGCCTAGCAGCCCAAGCAACGGAGGAAGAAGGATCGGCAATGAAAAGAACCATCCTAGGTGGCAGATAGCTCGGCCCATTATAGGATACAGTCCACACTAATAGGTGTGGATTTTGACTTCTTCATGGGCCAGGCCAGATTCTAAATCAAGTCCAGATAATAACACCCAAAAAAAAAAAAAAAAAACATATAGACCATTCTGAAAAATAATTGAGATATGCCGAGTAAATTATAATCAGTCCATGTAGCTTTAAAAAAACAAGAATTAATTAATCCTTTTATTTTTTTAAAAATAATTATTTAGTCTTTTAGTCCATTTTATGTTCTTTCCTAAATTTAAAAAATATATATATAAATAAATAAATAGATATTATGGAAAGATTATGAACAAATAAAACATTTTTAAAATAAAATAATATTAAATTAAATATGATAAAATTAATAAAAGAATTAAATAATTAATTTTTTAAATGCAATGACTGATTAATTTATTTTAAAAAAATTCATATTTAAAACTTTTTATTTGATTAAGGACAATAACATATATTATATTTCCACTCCATATAAGAAGCTTCATCCCCTTCATTGATCCCAACAAGCAGATTATAATATATATGAACAATCTTAATCATGCCAACGTGAATCTCTCCATACAATCAATAGCATTCGCATGCAAGATATGTTTTAAGATAACCAAACTAACAATATATATATCTAAGAAGAACCATAAACATCTTCCTTTATATATAGTATTGTAACAAGTTATTTGATTATTATATAATAACAGGTATATTTTAAGATTAATTTTACGTTGCAGAGCTTATCTATTGATATTCTTGTCATGTATTAATAATGTTATTGTTGATTATTATATAACAATAGGTATATTTTAAGAATAATTTTATGTTTCAGGGCTTATCTATTTTTGAAAATAAAGTGGATTAAATTGTTATCTGAATGGATATATGAAATCCGATGGCTTAATTACCTATGGTTATCCAAAACATTCCGAATCTAATGAGTAATCATCAAGATATGTTTATTATTTTTTTTACTTATTTGAATATGCATGATTATATATGGTTATACCAAAAAATGGAAACTATCGTTAGCTGTAGCCTATAGCTCCATGCGAACAAAAACACATAAACATAAACATGTATTCTTCTTTTTTCTTTTGCCTTTTTTTTCCCTGTCAACCAATATTAATTTTTCATTTGCATTTTTCGGCAAACAAAAAATTAGAATTATGGTTTTTTTTCTTAATAAAAAAATAAAGAATAATACATAATAATTGCATGACAGTTCAGTTATGCACAAAATGATACGAAGACAACTTTACAGCTTGTTAAAGGTCACAAGAAATTTTTTTTTTTTTTTATGAAAACATATCCAAATGTGAATGTTTTAATTAAAGATTTAATCAGAAAAAAAAAAAAACCTAGTTTTGATATAAAAAAATTAACGCAAAAAAATATCTATTATTAAAAACAAATTAAAGTGAACGAGAATCTATCTTTTCCATTCTAACAAAATATGAAAACGCAAAAAAAAAAAAAAAAAAAAACAGTGGAGGAGAAGTAACGAATAAAATTTAAGGGAAAAGAAGATGATGATACAAAAAGAAAATCTTGCATTCTGACATTCTTAGCTCAATAAATTCAGGCGCCGGCTCATCGTTGACTAAATCATACGTTTTGCCTTTTGAGTTGCCACCATCAAATAAGCCTTTGTTAGTTTGATCCCATTTTCACACACACATCTATTAAACTCACAAAGAATGGATAGATTTGAATTTCAAAAATCATTTTAGTTTATAAAAATAAAACAAAATCATAATCATATCATCAGAAGAAACGCACAAAAATATAAAAATTATTTTCGAAATCATATCAATCAATCAATATATAAAAATCAACTTGCCATTGAAGTTGCGTGTAATTAAAGTTCTTAATTTATGTGTGATAAGCTTTGATGGAGTACATCTTTCTTGCTGTAATGGGATTCCATACATTGTCCATAATACAAGTATTTTAATTTGTACTCAAGTGCCCATTTCCTACCTAACATTCTGTTTTATATAATTAACAACAACAACAATAATAAAAAATCGTAAACACAAGATGGCCACCACCAAAAAACGCAGGCTCCTCCCCTAGTTTGGTTAGGGAGTTTGGATATGAATTTCTTAAATTAAGGATAACATATATACATATACAAAGAGAGAGAGTATATACTTGAGTTTTTTCGAACCAATTTTAATATCAATCGAAAATAAATTTATCACTTTTTAATCTTAATCAATGTTAAAACATGTATAGTTTTTGGTCGATTACTAGACTCTTTAGCTAATAGACTAAACCAGCTCAAGTTTTGTCCCATTAAAAAGTAATTATGATTAGTTATCGATAAATAGTGAGAATTGAATTTTGACTTGGGTTAAATTAAAATAATTTTCTTATCGCTACACTAAATTTCTTTAGCAATGAGAATTGAACTTTGATCTATAATATATTGTAAAATTCAAATTATTGATAAAAAAAATAACTACTAATTTAAAAAATAAATTATAACTAACTTGGTGAAACGAATACTTAACCATTAATTGGACTTGTTTAAGGTAATATACCGTATTAAAATCAAGCCGTCAATATTAACAATGTAGTATTATTAATATATAGAATTCTTTTATCTTTAAAATATTTTACCATTATAATGGAATCAACTCCTCGCTAATTATTAAATGGTTGAGATATATCTTATGCAATTCTTTGTTTAAACTTGAGAGATACAAACTGATATATGATATAGCATTCATTTACAAGCATATGATCATCAATAATCTAGCTACTTTTATCTCTCTCTCTCTCTCTCTTTTTAATTATATTTGGCAATTTGATTTATGTGGGTATCGATGATTAGAGTTATCTATGTTATTTCAAAAAAAAAAAAAAAAAAAAAGACTTCGGCTGGCTAGCCTAGCAAAGCTAATTAAAGTATAAATAATATCTACTAGACAGGTACTTCGAAATTCACTAATAATTTTGTTATTCTTGCTGCATGATTTTCTTAAAAAGATTAATATATTTTCTTTATTAATGTTTATTACATTTCAACTTAAAATATATTTTATTATTATTAAAAAGAAATTACAATAATCATTTAAATAAAATCAGGACACAAAGAGTGGTTTAATGCTATATAGGAGTTTTAAACTCCTAATAAGAAGTCTATGGTTCAGATCATATTTTTCATGTCTTCGGTTTTAAAAAATACGAAAAGGGTAGGAGGTCAAAAATTTAATTATATTTTTTTAATTTCAAGAACATAAAAGGTCTGAAATTAATAGTTTTAAAATCAATATGTATGGATCGAAATAGGTGGAAAGAAGTAGGGAGAATAACAATTTTTTTAGTAAATTTAGCAGCACTTTATCTAGACGGTATGAAAAAAAAAAAGATTAATTAAATTAAATTGTCAACTTGTTGACGCATATATTCTTACGCGTTTCTTTTTAGCTTTTTTCTGTTCCCTACATATAATTTATGCATAGTAGCCCGCCAATTAGTGGTCAAGAAATGGCAGTCATGGCCGCAACTACACCACTTTTTAATTAATTCTTTTGAATCTTGCTTTTTTCTTTTGCTTTTTTTTTATTGCCTACCATTTTTTAAGAATCTTTCCACACCTTTTATGATCTAAGCATAGTTTTGTTCTTATTGCATATAATTAGGTTTGGATTTGAACTTTTTGATGTTTATTATCAATGAAAGTTTCGAATTGGAGATTTTTTTTTTTGAAGAAAAATAATAATATTAAATTGAAATAAATCAGAATTTTTTTTACTGCATATAATTAGTTTCGGATTTAAATCTTTTACTACTTGTCATAAGAGAAAGTATTGAATTTTAGATTTTTTTTTTTTTTTTTTTTGTGAGTTGGAATTTTTCTAAAGAAGGTTAATTATTCCAAGGCATTGTAAAAAATGCCTTATAGATATATTCCTGAAACAAGACACACTTGTCGAAATATTCCTCACAAGACAATCACCCTACGTAACGCACTTTATGAGTGAATCTATGAATATTTCTTCAGTCAAAAAATTACTCCCATGCATACATGTTTTTATTTAGCACAATTATTCAATGTCTTGATTGAAATACAAAGTCATTAATTAACGATATTTTTTAACATTTGATTAATTTGGATATATGAACATATATATTACAGACATTGAATATTTCATAGTAATTTTTTATCAATTAAAATTAATTTTTCAATTTATGATTTAGGTTAACAACAAATCACGTCTAGTTTTAATGAATTTTTAAAACTAAACTCTTTAAATCAATCAATAATCTATATTTAATATCACATAAATATTTATTATTAATTTTTAAAACAGTCAGTTGAAAAGAAAATCAATTAATTATTACATCCCAATTACCAAATCACAAAGTAACAATTTTAAAAAAATAATAATAAAAAAAATAAAAAGCTGAAGAAGGAAGCTTCAGTCCAAGAGGGAGCACTTCCTAATATTTATATATATAGCCCAGCATCCCAACAGTACATCCACTAAGCCAGAGCAGAAATAGCTCATTTCCTTTCTTCCTTGGCAACTATTCCTTTTCACCTAAACCTCTACACACTTCATCCTTTTGGGCATCCAATAGGAGAACATGAGGACACGTTATAACTTCTTGGTAGACCCATTCTCAAGAAGTTTTAAGGGTCTCGTTGTTTGCTGCATTTTGCTTTCTTTG